CCCCCAACAACACATCCGCACACCAATGTATCCCCCCCTCCCCTCGCCACAACCACACACACGTACATACTTGCATTGTGCATCTCCCTCTGTAGAGAAATTGGAAAACAACCGTGTCTTTTGAAATACATCCAAAAGGTCATCATGCATTATGAGTGTGTGTATATATGGAAACATAGTAATGGGATAATATACTAATCTAGGCAACGGGTTGTGTTGTACACCTGGAGTTCAAACGAGAGATAAAAAAGCTTTCTCTTGCATTGACATTTGAAAATAGTAATAGATAGCCATGTTCAATCGGCGCCAAATATCGGGTCGGCCAATCATTCTCGGTAACTGATATGAACTGTCAAAAGAAAAAAAAGTTAATGATTGAGAGCGTTGCTTTTCGTTAAAGTAGTGGTTGTACCTGCAGATGCAACGACAAGATGATACATTGATGTCGTAGATACCCTTGAATGTTTGATTGTTTTAAAGTGTGTGAGAATAAAAGGAGAAGTGGTTCATCATCTGACACGACCTGGTGCATCCTATCTTCCCCTATTTCCTTATACTTTTACATACAACCCAATGCAAAAAGATGAAACATCCTGTATGTTGCTTTTGGAAATGATTAATGTAGTATTAGAGGAGGAGTGGAGTGGAGTGTATAATAATAATACTTGTTGATGGTGCAGCAGCAGCAGCAACAACAGCCATTAACACGTGTATATCCGAAAGCAGGACCGGAGCATAGCAAAAGTGTGTGTGTGTGTGTGTATGGGTGTGCTATGTGGGTGATTGTGGCTAACTCATTCTTCTTTATTCTTCACCACTCTCTCTCTTTTTCTTTTTTGTCTATATTTCAATATCTACTTTTCTCACATACCACGCACGGACTACCTTGTCCTTATTCCCTATATCTCCTGAACGCCTTTACACAAAAAGGTATCGCTCTCTATTCCCCTTGAAAAAGTGAAACATTATGCATTGAGACAGCCATGATGGTAACCCACGCTTCTATATAGACCTTTGACATTACTCGAGTAATGGAAGAACCCACTTTGTTACAACCACGACAGCCTCCAGTAGCACCGTTGAAGCCATCGGTCAGCATTCAAGATGAGACATTGTTTCAGGATCTATTCGCGACGCCTTTGCCCATCAAGGAGGTGGATGACCTATTTGCTATGCGAGACACCCTTTCGGCTGGAGACATATTACAGCAATTTGAGACGATTGCAGCACAGCTTACACAATGGTTGAGCGTTGCACACATGACAGTATTCACTTTGGAGCAAAAGGTCAAGATGGAGGAGGCTGGTGGCAGTGATACATCTGTTGTCAACTTGGATACCAAGCCTCTTGAGAGCATGATGAGTCAAATGCAGCCACTTGTGTCAGTGTTTGTGGAAGCTGGTGAACAAGTCTTGGATGATATTGATGATGATGAGCCAACATTGATTCAACGAAAAATGTCAGTCAAAATGACAATTGCCAAGATACAATCCGAGTGGTCAGGGTTACAGCATTTCATGGCATCCGTTGTCAATGCAGTACAGAGCATGGCTGAAGAAAAGAACTTGGCATTGGCGATGGAGTACATTCTTATTCAACTCGATGACATTTCCACCATGATTTTCCAGTATCACGAGACAAAGCATACGCAAAGCGCTACTACACCATCCAGGAACAACTCGCTGAGTACAAAAAGTAGCAGCATCGCCACGCCCTCTCCATCATTATCAGGCGAGACACGCATCAAAGACAACAATGGCGATGGGATTCTTGTGACGATTGATGAAAAAGTGGAGCCTGTTTTTCGACAAGTGGAAAAGGTGTATTCTCGAATGACATCCGATCATCCTCCCGCTGACAAAACAGGGGTCCTCTCACGCAAACATGGCATGGTACAAGAAAAGTGGGAGAATCTTCGATCCGAGATTGACGATCTTAAAGATGAGCTCAAGGAAGATCGATGGCTTACCGTATTTCGTCAAGTGGCTGATCAAGTGGATGTTATGATTGATGGATTGGATAAGACAACAGCACAATGTTATGCCATGATTCAACAAGTACGTGATTGGCAAGCACTTGGTGGTGGTGGTACGAGTGCAACAGCCCATGAGATGCAACCAAGAGGTGTCCTTCGTAATGTACCACGACCCCATCCATCCACCACATCCATCTCATCGAATTCATCGTCGGGTTCAGCTGGCTACAACAATGGCAACAACAATGGCAACAATCATCACCATCAACCCCCTGTGGATCAACACAAGTTTCGATCAGTGGAGAAGAACTTTGAAGCAAAGTACAAGTATTACACACCATCGATTGACCGCATGCTGGCAATGTTGGGCAATGGGATCGCATCACGTGTGGGCCAAGATATGACAACAACAAGGAGACATCAATCAATGATACAACGATGGAATCAACTTAAGGCTGAGATGGATGAATTACGATCCCGTGATTTACCAGAGACCGAACGCGTATTACTTGGAGCAGGACATCGGCCTATTAGTCCAGCCTATTCCCGCCTGAGTGATCGAAGCGATAGGAGCATGAGCAGTATGCGATTTAGAAGCCCTGAGCCACCTTCGGGAATGAATCATCATGATCTCGCTGATTATATGACTGCTGGTGGTGGTGCTGCTGGTGGCGGTAGTGGTGGTGCTCGTGCGAAAAGTCCATTATCAAGATCATCTCGAACAGCTAGTCCTATGGGTGGGATATCATCTTATTATGATGAAGGGAGACGTGGACGGAGTGCTACTCCCAATAGTGGACGACATGACATGTGGACACGTGGATATGGATCACCCAGTGGAAGATTACAACGCAACGTTAGTCCAATGTCATTTAGCAGCATCATGCGACCAAGTACATCCGATTCATCTTCTGTATCGAGTGCATCTATTCCACAACCTCTCATTACCACCACCGATGACAACAACAACAACACCTTTACATCATCATCACGACGACGAAAGACAAAGACACCAGCTATTGATGAACGACGAAAGAGCCGAATACCAGCGACCGAAGATACGTTTTCAGAACAACAACATGATGATCGGGCCTCTTGGATGAGACCAACAAAGAGTTCATTGTTACGTAAACAAAAAGCTGAACAAGCCAAACGCGACACTGCCAGATCAGCAACACCCAATTCATCATCTTCTCGCTATTATACATCATCCTCAGCAACACCACCTCTTCCCACCATACCCGCTCGTCCTATGAGCAGTCTTGAAAGGCAAGGAACGACTCATCATCTTTCAGTGCAATATCCCGATCGAGATAGACGACCCTTGTCTCCTGTAAGACGATCCGGCACCCCTTCTCTTATTCCTCGTCCAAAAACACCTTCAGGACCATCACGTGCAGCTTCACCTTCCATGTTACCACGACCCCGTTCCTCCATGCAAATGACACCTCCTCCTCCACCAGCGCGTAAGTAGCTACCATGTGAAGATCAACACTCTGTGTGTGGAAATCAACGATAAGCAAAAAAGACTAACTTTGTGTATTTTGCCTAGACAGCTCGCCCCCATCAAAGTCAACCAAGAGTTTACGCAAGAAACAATCCATGCCCGCCTTAATGCACCATCGTCGCGCTGCTTCTCCTAATCCACGCCTATTCAATGCACGTACACCATCACCTCCTGCTGTCTTACGATCCGATGATGAAGAAGATGAGGATGCTTATACCGGGTATGAAAAAGATTATCTTTATGAAGAAGATGAAGATGATGTTGCCTGGAAATCAAGACCTACTACTACAAAGGAAAACAATGTCACCTACCGACCCGATCCCAAAGATCCTCTCGATATGGAAGTCGCCCGTATTGTCAATGCCAGTCCTATCGCCATCAAATGCCAAAAGGGTCCCAATGGATCTGGAAGGTACTATTTTGGAAGCGAATTAAGTCCTTCAGTGGGAGGTGGCAGAAAGCTGTATACATGCAAGCTGATGAGTTACACGGGCCGAAGGAAATCGGACAAGACAGCTGCACGTAACAAGGTCCTCGTTCGTGTAGGTGGTGGATGGCAGGATTTAGAGTTGTTTTTATTACATTACGGCATCCTTCATTAATAAACCTTAATACTAACAATAATCTCAGAGACAAAAGAGTCATCAATTTAGAGATAAGAAAGTGGTTGGGGGGTGTAGCGTGCGTGTGTGTGTGTGTTTGGGGGGAGGGGGAAGGTGGTAGAAGGAAGAAAAAAAAAAGAGGCTTTGCTGCTGGTGCTGGTGCTGATCTAATGAGTGATATGGATAAAAGGTAAGGCAGAAGTACGGCAAACGTTTTAGCCAAAGGAGGTCCGGGAAATTTTGACGTGGTGAACTCTGTGGGGGTTGGATGGATGGGGGGAGTGGAACATTTTAGAGATAAGGGCGGCAAAAATATGATAGGCTCATGCTCAGAGAGTTTGGGTGAGAGAATTCCTGGTATTACAAACTCAGTTTGATCATCTCACTTTTGCATTGCGTATGTGGGTTGTGCGTGCGCACCAAAGATGATGTTGGGAAAGTGCGGGACACAAGCCAACTGCTATGCGGGAATTGAGCGGAATTTTTGAATCCATTGCGATGACTGATCTCTCACACTGGGCACAACGTACGCATCAAAATGACATACGACACATCTTTGCTGATAACCCACATCACTCACTCACACACACCCTATATAAACCCTCCTTGTACGTGGGTCTGACACAAAACGTTTCTTTTTCTTGAACCTCTTTTTTTCCCTTTACCCTTTTTACTTTTTCATTCTCAAACAAAGGTACGCGTGTCCTCTTTTATTTTACGGCCGGGGGAGTGAAAAAAAGTGACGGGTGATGAGCATCATCCGAATGACAAAAGAGAACATCTTCCATATGCCATCATATGAAATCATAAATGGGTGCCCGATCTCTTCCTCTTCCCCGTCACTCTTTTTCTCGTCGACTACAAAAACCATTCGAGTCGAGGTGGCAATAATCTCACATCTCTTTTTCTTTTTCCCCACATTTTTTTACATTAGTACATACACCACCCACCCACATACATACATACATAGCCATGCCGCATCGTGAACATTCTGTGGAAACCATTCGCCGTAATAGCGAAGTGATGGGCAGCCTTAGGAAATTGATGGCTGTTAACCGTGGTGTAAGTAGTATTCATCATCATGATAGTAGCGTTTCAGACTTGCCAGCCATGATCTCTTACCCCACATGGATGATCCCAAATAGGAAATTGCCATTCGTGTGTGCCGAACAGCTCACGAGCTCTCCATGAGAACCGTTGCCATCTTTTCACATGAAGATCGGCTTTCCATGCATAGATACAAGGTAAGGTTTACATGTCATGTGATCCTTTTTATTGCATGATAACCAATGCACAAAACGTTTTATGATGATGTAGGCCGATGAAGCATATCAAATTGGTCAGCTTGGTCAATTTACCCCTGTGGGAGCTTATCTTGCTCAAGATGAGATTGTACGCATTGCCAAGGAACGAGGTGTCTCCATGATCCATCCTGGCTATGGTTTCTTATCCGAGAATGCTGAATTTGCACGCAAGGTGGAAGCAGCGGGTATCACATTCATTGGTCCATCCCCTGAGGTCATTGATAGTTTAGGAGATAAGACCAAGGCTCGTCAAATTGGTAAGTAGGTTTGGTGTGTGTGTAAATATGACATGCAAACAATAACTTTTTGTGGATTGTGTGTGGGAAAATAGCTATGGATTGCAAGGTGCCAGTTGTCCCAGGCACACCCGGACCTGTGAGTGAATACTCTGAAGCCAAGGCCTTTATTCAAGAATATGGATTCCCTATCATCATCAAGGCTGCTATGGGTGGTGGTGGCCGTGGTATGCGTGTTGTGCGTGATGAGGCATCACTTGAGGATGCTTTCAATCGTGCAAAGTCCGAGGCATTGTCTGCATTTGGTGATGGCACTGTTTTCATTGAACGCTTCTTGGACAAGCCCCGTCATATCGAAGTCCAACTTTTGGCTGATCGTGCTGGCAACGTCGTCCATCTCTTTGAACGTGATTGCTCTGTTCAACGTCGTCATCAAAAGGTCGTCGAGATTGCTCCTGCCAAGAACTTGGACAACACCGTGCGCGAAGCCATTCTCAATGATGCCGTCAAGATTGCCAAGGCTGTAAAGTACAAGAATGCTGGTACTGCCGAATTCCTTGTGGACAACCAGAATCGTCACTACTTTATCGAGATCAATCCTCGTATCCAAGTGGAGCATACCATCACTGAGGAAATCACTGGTATCGACATTGTTGCTGCTCAAATCCAAATTGCTGCTGGTGCCCTCTTGCCCCAACTTGGCTTGACCCAACAACGCATTCGTCAACGAGGTTTCGCTATCCAATGCCGTGTAACCACTGAAGATCCTGAAAAGAACTTCCAACCTGATACTGGCAAGATCGAAGTCTATCGCTCATCCGGTGGCAATGGCGTACGTCTTGATGGTGGTGCTGGTTATGCAGGCGCTATTATCACTCCGCACTATGACTCCCTTCTTGTCAAATGCACATGCTCAGGCTCTACCTATGAAGTGGCTCGTCGCAAGATCGTTCGTGCTTTGGTGGAATTCCGTATTCGTGGTGTGAAGACCAACATTCCCTTCTTGCAACGCTTGTTGACTCATGATACCTTCATCAATGGCAACTGTTGGACCACATTCATTGACGACACTCCCGATCTCTTCCGCCTTGTTCAATACCAAAATCGTGCTCAACGTATGCTTGGTTACCTTGGTGACGTTGTTGTCAATGGATCTCAAATCAAGGGCCAAGTGGGTGAACCTTCCTTCAAGCAAGAGCTTGAGATCCCTACCCTTTACGACAATGCTGACAAGCCTGTGAATGTCAATGTGGCTCCTACTGAAGGCTGGAGAAAGATCTTTGTTGAACAAGGTCCTGAAGCATTTGCCAAAGCTGTTCGTGCTTATCCTGGTACTCTTATCATGGATACTACATGGCGTGACGCTCATCAATCCTTGTTGGCTACTCGTGTCCGCACTACTGGTAAGTTGGAGTGATTGACAATCGGGAGGTGAAAATTTAGCGTGGGAATTGGAAGCAAAATATCGGATGGGATTGGGTGAATGTCATGTGCAAAGCGTTAATAACTTTATCCTCCTCCCTCCTCCCCCCCCACACACAACACATTGACAGATCTCCTCCGCATTGCACCGACAACCGCACATGCTCTCTCCAATGCCTTTTCGCTTGAATGTTGGGGTGGCGCTACCTTTGATGTGGCCATGCGCTTCTTGTACGAGGATCCTTGGGAACGTTTGATTGCTTTGCGTAAGGCTGTGCCCAATGTACCTTTCCAAATGCTTTTGCGTGGTGCCAACGCTGTGGGTTACACCTCTTATCCCGACAATGTCGTTTACGACTTTTGTGCCAAGGCTGTCAAGGCTGGTATGGATGTGTTCCGTGTCTTTGATTCCCTCAACTATGTCGAAAACATGCGCTTGGGTATCGATGCTGTCAAGAAGGCGGGTGGTATTGTCGAAGCTACCATTTGCTACACCGGTGATGTGACAAGCACCAAGAAGACCAAGTATGATATCAACTACTATGTCAACCTTACTCAAGAATTGGTCAACGAGGGCATCCACATTTTGGGTATCAAGGATATGGCTGGTTTGCTCAAGCCTGAAGCCGCCAAATTGTTGATCGGCACCATCCGTGAAAAATTCCCTGATCTTCCGATTCACGTGCACACTCACGACACCGCCGGTACTGGTGTTGCTTCCATGTTGGCTGCTGCTGAGGCAGGTGCTGACGTGATCGATGCCGCCATTGATTCCATGTCTGGTATGACCTCCCAACCCTCCATGGGTGCTCTTGTGGCTGCTCTTGAACATAACAACGGTGGTACTGGTATTCGTATGGAAGATATCCAAGCTCTCAACTCGTACTGGGAACAATGCCGCATGTTGTATTCTTGCTTCGAAGCCAATGTCAAGGCTGCTGACTCAGGCGTTTACAGAAGGTATGTATCAAAGTCGTCTTTATTGTGCATTTTTCACTCATACATTTCAATACAACAGCGAGATGCCCGGAGGCCAATATACCAACCTCATGTTCCAAGCACAACAACTTGGTCTTGGCACCCAATGGTTGCAAATCAAAAAGGCTTATGCCGAAGCCAACGAATTGTGTGGTGATATCGTCAAGGTGACTCCTTCATCCAAGGTGGTTGGTGACTTGGCCCAATTCATGGTATCCAACAATCTCAACAAGGAGGATGTTATCAAGCGTGCCTCTAGCTTGTCATTCCCTACCTCTGTGGTCGAGTTCTTCCAAGGCTACTTGGGTCAACCTGCTGGTGGTTTCCCTGAACCATTGCGTAGTGACATTATTCGCAACCTTCCTCGCATCGATGGTCGTCCTGGTGCCACTATGCCACCCCTTGATTTGGCCAAGCTTAAGGAGGAATTGATTGAAAAGTATGACAACATTACTGATTACGATGTCGTGTCGGCTGCTTTGTACCCCAAGGTGTTTGCTGAATATCGTGATATGGTGGCTCAATATGGTGATTTGTCCATCATCCCTACTCGTTACTTTTTGGCCAAGCCTGAAATTGGTGAAGAATTCCACGTTGAGATTGAAGAAGGCAAGACCCTTATCATCAAGCTGCTTGCTGTGGGTCCTATCAACAGCACCGGCAAGCGTGATGTCTACTTTGAGCTCAATGGTGAAGCTCGTGTTGTTGGTATCACTGATAAGAATGCTGCCGTTGAAACTGTCACTCGTGAAAAGGCCAAGGAATCTAACCCAGGTGATGTGGGTGCTCCCATGTCCGGTGTTGTTATTGAAGTCCGTGCAAAGGAGGGTGCTGAGATCAAGGCTGGTGACCCTGTATGCGTTCTCAGTGCCATGAAGATGGAAACGGTTGTCTCTGCACCTGTTGCTGGTCGTGTTGAACACGTTCCTATCAAGGAAGGCGACTCTCTTTCCTCCGGTGATTTGGTTGCTCGCATTGTTCACACTTAAAAAATCTCATTTTCTCTCTATCCTTTCATTTTCTCTCTTCACTTCCTTTTTCGTTGTAATATAGCATTGTAGAATCAAACATCTTTTCTCTTATCTACGTATACATAAAAGTGTTCTTGAACAAAGGATAACGCTTTGACTTTGACTGCTGAAATCACATGCATGACACCTGATGTTCCCTAGCCTTATACAAGATGAACGACGTATGCATATGGATAGCATGTGATGCTAGCTACCTTGTTGGAAATGGTTTCTAATCACTGCAACACGCGCTTAGTAACATGCTTCAGCAACTTTAATATAGCTCGAATGCTTCTGGCACCAAATGAAAAGTCCCTTTAGATCTATTGATGCTTACCAATTGAAAAAGTAACAAGCGACAAGGCTCATGTTCCTGATTGCAAATGGACAAAGAATGGTTATTGATATTAAAATAAGCTGCGTTTATACATTTTGAGAAGAGCAAAAGAATGGATGACATGACATGAGGAGAGGAAGAGATTAACTTTTGCTATTTTAAGGGAGAGGATGTGGGATTGATTTTGGTTGTAGTTCTATACACATGATAAAAATAAAATGGGTGGGAGTGCGTTTCTCGAAAGAATAATTAAGCTTCATGCTCATGTACAATATGGTTCTCTTCGGTCTTGACACGTCGACGCGTACGCTCAACTTCAGCTTGCCAGTCAATGATGAACAAAAAGCCGCATTCACCAAGAGCACCAACAAAAAGGGCAACTGACAAGCTGATCCAAATACCTGTCAATCCACCATCTGCCTTGAACGTCAATACATAGCCCAATGGCAAGGCGATCACGTAATAGGCAATGAGATTAATCCATGCAGCCACATTTTGTCGACCAAGACCACGGATGACACCGCCACAGACACCACACAAGCCATCTGCAATTTGGAAAAGGGCTGCCAGAGGAAGGATATGAGCGACACGAGTGACAACCTCTTCATCGGATGTGAATGAATAACCAAAGAACGAGCGCGTGGCCATGAAGAAGCTTGAATTGAGAGCACCAAAGCCAACAGCAAAAACAAGAGCCATCATGGATGCATACTTGGCCTTTTTAGCTGAAGCTTCGCCAATTGAATTGCCAACGCGTGTGGATGCAGCAACGGAAATACCATAGGGGATTGTATAGGTTGCAGAGGCTGATGTCAACAAGATCGATTGTGCTGCAAGATCAACGGTGCCAAGATAGGATGCTGCCAAAGCTGCCAATTCAAAGGCCCACCATTCACTATCATCCATGATGCATGAGTCTCTCTCGCTCTCTCAATGTATTTTCATCGTTTATCTTTCCCTTACCTGCAAACCATGAGCACACCAGGCACAGCAAGTTTAATGAATGGCCACCAATCCTTGAAAGCATCCATAGACCATCCACCCCATGCTTCAGCACCTCTGAATTTCCAAATGTAACCAATCAATAGAGCAAGCATAAGCCAATAGCTGAATGCTGTAGCGAGAGGTGCACCAATAAAGCCAATGCTGATAGGTTCCCAATGAACAAGCATGTAATTGAGACCAAAGTTGATAGGTGATGCAATCATCAATACATAAGTGGATGCTTTCATGATGCCTTGTGCTTGCAAGAACTTTTTGACTGCTTCAAAAGCGACGAATGCAGGAACACCAATCAAAAGACAACGAAGGAAAAGGCCTAAAAGGTAAGAAGCAGCATAGATGATGAGTGTACATGTTGTATGTGTGTGAGGGTGTGTGAATCATTTCTCTTACCTGCTTTGAATGCCAACTCAGGTTCCTGATCGAGTGCTAGCAGGATTTGTGTAGCGTTCCACCAAACAATTGCCACGGGTATCATCATGAGCGCCAACATTACCAATGCTCGTTGCAAGTAGACACCGACCAAAGTCTTATCACGGGCACCGCCATAGGCTTGAGAACAAAGGGTATCGAGTGCAGTGGCAGTACCAAATGCAACGCTCCAGGCAGATACATTGGCAAACATGCTAGCAAGAGCAGCAGCTGCAAGTTCAGTAGGGCCCTACAGTACATTTTACAGCAATTTAAGCCACACATGATCTTTTGTCATATAAATAAAGAGAGATGTCAACTTACCAAATGACCAAGAGTAAAAACGGAAGCAAGTTGAAGAGATTGTTGCAAGAGATATGTACCAATCACAGGCAAGCTGTTGAAAAGCAGCCATCGAAATTCTTTGGCCCAGCTGGCTGTCACTTCTCGTTGCTTGCCAGGTGCAAGAAGAGGGCTTGACTCAGTAGGCGTTTCCGACATGGAAGAAGTAATGGACACAATGTCGTCGTGATCGTCCGATCGCATAATTGAAAAGCTCCAATGGGGGGTATTGTGTGTGTATGTGTGTGTATGTCTTTTGTGTGTGTGGGTGAGAAAAAGAAAAGATGTCGGTAAGGAAAGAAAAAGAAAAAATACCTTGTCGCTGAGTCCGGGCTTTTGTATTTTAGAGGCAACGGCACAGTAATGCCGAGATAGCCAACTTGCACCATCATTGCCTCCAATTGCACTAAAAGGAATTGTTCACCCGTACATTGCAATCCTTCCATCCAAGGTCATCCACCCGAAAAAAAAACAATTACTCCATTTACTTTACTAATGGTAGATCCCCAACCATTTGATCTTGAGACAAACCCCCCTCCCTCTTCTCTCCTGTTCATGTTATGTACAATCCCTCCTCCTATACATGTACGCACACATGCATACACACATCTATCATGATGGTGGCCATGTTGTAAAATACAAGAGGGTGATATCGTGGGTATAGTGAGCAAGATCTAAGAAGATGCTCATGGAATCTTTACAATGCAGGACACGTGGTAGATTTTTTGCCACCATTGATCAGACTTTCCCACAATAGTTACTCCATTGCATTTTCCTGCTTATCGTACCTGCAATCGTTGAATTCAATTGACTCCGAGTGACTCATCACCGACATTTTCTTCTTTCTTTGTCTCACCTGAACCTTACCCACCAACCCACTCCGCTGTTTGTGTACTCTTTTTTATCAATTGATAGTGTTGCGATACGCCATATGGGCTGTGTGTGTATATATACAAATAGTGAGCATCGTCTTTATGTAGGTGGACCAAATCCATGTGGATCCATAGATCTGGATAATTGCTGTGAAACAAACACCATGGTTGAGATATAGGGCTGTGACAAGTTCAGGGGTAACATATGACCTTGGGTGATGATGGTATCATTTGATTATGTGCTGGTTGAGTCGATTTGTCAAATTTGTTGAAAAAAGAGCTGCTATGGATACCAAGGTTTTGGATTTCTTCTTTTGCTGATACCAGTCGCATGATTTACTTGCTCGCTTTTCTCCTCTTTTGGTAGTGCGTTACACAATCCATGTCGTGCAAACTTTATTTGCAATAACATTTCCGGGCAGCTGGTTCATGCATCGCATAAACAAATGGCACACTCTTCAACCATCATCATAAAGCCGTCCCATCTTGAAATCGCTGCCATTTGTGCATCATTGAAAGTACCATAGGATGTATCTAAGACGATGGATTCTGATCATAAATGAGCCAACCAGGAAGGGGAGACATCTCCAGGTCACAAGTTGTCCTCGTATAAAATGAGCTGAGATCACTGTTTATTTGTATTTTCAATATGCCCCTGACATCGAGTACATACATTACGATCAACAAACCTGAATTCACAAAGTCGGCCACGTGAATGCTCTCTTTCGAACATGTAACATCATTCAATAATGAAGGATCTCAATAATGCTGTTATTATGTACAAACGGTGTGCGTGCTTTTATTAGTTGTTGTGTGGATGAGGGGGGGTGTCTAGTTTACAATAACGTGGCTGCGTAGTATACTGCAGCTGCCGCCATTAGATTTGGTACAATGCTTCCACCAAAGGATGCATTCAGAGAACGCCTTGGGCGAGGTGGTTCTTCCTTTTCATTCGTATTATTGTTGTTTTTGGTATATGTTGATTCCTCCAATCTTTTTTGTGCCTCGTCGAGATCAGCCTGAAGCTCCTCATTGTCGTTTTGTTGTCTGTGAATGACATGCATCAATTCCTCTTGTTTGTCTAAAAGCAACATGCGTGCATTTTCCAAAGATGCCATGCGTCCTGTAAGCTCTTGAGTGCGTTCTCGCTGTTCTTGAATCTCGGCCAAATAAGCATCCCGTTCCTCACATGCAGTCTTGTACTCGGTACGAAGAAGATGCTGTTGTTGTGAAATCTCAGCACGTGCCTCAGCCAATTGTGCTTCCAGTTGTTGCAATTGAGCAGCTGCTGCTTGGTCCTTTTCCCTTTTCAACAAATCAAGCTGTGACTTTAACTCGGCATTCTCAGCCTTGGATACATCAAGTGCCTTCTGAAGATGGGTTGCAAGCGTTCCTTGTTCATTGTCATGTTGTTCTGCATCCGATAGCGCCAGCTTGAGACTCTTTTCCAATTGCCGGTTCTCTTCTTGTAATTGTGTCAGCTGCTGGGTCATGGCTTCTTGATGCTCCGCTTTGGCCTGTTGCAACGTGGCAAGATTCGCTTCCAAGTATCGATTCTCTTCTTGAAGTATTTGCAATCGGGTCAAAAACTCTTGTTCATGCTCCTTGGCATCTTTGATGGACGCTGCCAAACGCTCTTCAAGTTGCTGACGATCCTCCTCTGAAGCCTTGGTCATCATTTGCAATCGTGCCTCCAAATCCCTCTTTTCCTGGTTGGCAGCCTCCAACGACGCCTGCATTTGTGCCATCTCCTCACGATGCGCTGTCAAGCCTTGTTCACATTGAGTAAAAACATCATGGATCGTTTCTCGGCTAAGAGGACCACTCCCATTCGCCACTTGATTTGCCAATTTGGTCACCTAATTTGTAAGGGCCAATGCATGCATGCATGCATGTATGTATCAGACACTCTTGCTCCTTGTATTCCTCACGAAAATAACTTACCGCAGCAGTCGTGGTTGCTGATGTTTTTGAACTTGTGAGAATCATACCCAGCAATTGGTTAAGTCTATCCATATCCAATGTCAGCTTTACATCCTTTCAATGGACACCTCATCAACTTACCTTCCTCGCGTTTCAACCTCTTGCTATAAAAGAAAAATGTAAAAGAATCAGCCATCCTCGTCATCATGTTGTGTCACAATAGCAATCAATCGTCTACTCCTTCCCCTTACCTCAGTCTTCTCCTGCATACGAGTCTGCAATTCAGCAATGGTATTGAGGCACTTTTGAAGCTCGGAATGTTCATTGATCTACACGATAGCGTTATCAATCTCTGTTTTCTTGCATCACACGAATCATCCTATAACCCCGTTGTTCCACCTACCCGCGTCATTTTGGCTGCTGTGCGGATCATCTTGGCACGTTGAGCAAATCTTAACGTCATTGTTGATTCGGTCTTGCACTTCCATGTTGGATTGATGGTACAAATGACGGAGATTCTTGCATTGCCTGATAAGGCTGTTTGCAACACTCTTGTAAGGATCGAAGTGCGGTATTGGACAAAGCCCTTGTCATTTCCACTACATTCCATGCATTTTGTGTTAATTCCTGCCGACGCTATTACCGCCTTCCATACTTACGAGCTCTTTGGGTTAGTCAGCTGCGAAATCACATTGCCCAAAGCCAATAGACTATCGTGCCAAAGAGCATGAGCAATCCAAAAGACACCATTTTATACTCTATGCGTGCTTGCTTACCTCTTGTTGATATAGGAACCTTCTTGACGTCGTTCACTGTCACTTGCTGCCTTTTCAGATCCTGCAAGGTCAATCAAGTTCTGCAAGGGGAAATTAGAACGAGCCAATGGAGCGACATGCTGCAATGCAAAGGAGTGGAATCAACCTACCAATTGCGAGATGCGTACACTTCCTTGATCTGGTACATAGACATTCTTGTTCCTGCTTTCAATGACCTGAAGTTGAAGAAGAATAAAAGTGCTCAGTGTAACGTGACATGGAGATTTAAATAGCGCCAACAATGAATGTTTACCATTTGAAAGATTGTATGTGATCGACTACTGCGTGCATTGTAATCGGTCTCACCCACATGACGATTAGCTAAAGGGAAAACATGTCAATAACGAATGTGTGTGTGTGTGACAGTGGTACAATGTCAAACAATGCATTACCTTCACCCTCTTTGATAACGTCTAATACTTGTTGCGGTGACACGACAATCACCTCCCGAAGGTTCTTTACGAATACGCCACGCTGCAAAACAAAGATGCATCATTGTGTCAGCCGTGTTTTCTTTCCATTCGTCTTTCACATACCTTTTTATCTTCGTGAATCTCAGGTGTGAGACCATCTGCCTTTGCAATGAGATCATGGATTTTTTCCTTGTAGATCTCCATGTAGGAGACACGCAACAGGAATTCTCGGCCAGGGTGCTATCATGCATATACAAATGTAGGTGGTTAGTCATACGGATTCCTGGTTGCCATGATCCCCGTTTCTTTCCCCGCCCCCGTTGATGATGTACATACCTCTTCGATATACGTAAAAAGATCATTTACAGCTCGTGGGATCACACCAGGCTCAGCCTTGGTACCTATGTTTGTTATGTGTGAGAGAGGTTGTTATGCATTATGCAGCCGTAGCATATCCAACAACTTACCCATCTAATAAATAAAAGAGTGGAATACAAGGAGAAACGCACATGATGATATGCAACGATCAATATTCATGCAATAACCTAAAAAAGGAACCGAGGGTTGCTGTTACGTACCATGGTCTATAAGAATACCATTCCATGGTTAGATCACCTTTTCAGCTACATGGATGACGGATGACTTACATAGGTTTTACCGCTTGCTGTTTGGCCATATGCAAAAACAGTGCCTAAATTGGATGGGTGGGAGGGGAGATGTGGGTGTCAGAGATGTATGCTTTTTTTAGGCATATATGCAAACAAACCATTATAACCGGCCATGGTCGACCTAAAATGAGAAAAAAAAGCCAAGCATCATATAAGATCATCCATGCCATGCGAACTACCACTACCACCACTTTTTTTTTACTTACTTGACCAAATCCCCGATGCCAGTGTCGTACACGGATTGATTGTCACTTCCACTGACGACGGCGTCTAATAGAAGGATGCATGCGTTTAAGGTTACTTGAAACGTTTTATACAAAAACGATCCTTACCGTATTGATAAATGCCGGGATTTCGACGGCTGTCATCATATGTCCTGATCATGCCATTCTCTGGACCAACCAGCCAACAAGGGTTCTCGTCGGCTTCTCGTTCTTTTGTAGAAGGTGGACGTAATCGCACCATGACCTGCACGTTTTCTTTGATAGCTGTTGTTGATGTTGAGCTTGTGGGTCGTACTGTAGAGCTCGTTGGTGATGGGTATAAAGGTGGTGATGATAACGACTCTGGTGAATTTGGTACAAGTGGTGTGGATGGTGGTGAAACAGGAACATTTTGTTGCTGCTGGTTGTTGTGGTGGAGCTGAAGAATAGAGGTGGAGTACGTAGGCTGTGGTGCCGATGGTAAGTGTAATGATTTAGGTCGCATCATCATCTTGGAGGTGGTAAAGGTATATATTGACGTGAGTAAGTGAGGGTGTTGTTGTTGTTGGTATCGAAGGTGGTGGTAAAAAAGAAAGGAAACAAAACAGGAAGAAAAAGGTGTTGAAATGAAAAATGAAATCCGCAGGACCAAAAATGCACCAGCTGGTGTGGTGTCGGGGCGAGAGCAATTGTGATGCACAGTAACACAGGGCACCAGCCCTTGGTTTGTGTAGACAAGTGTTTCACCAAGAACAAGAATATCACAAACACATACCTTTTTTTGTATCCTCCTTGCATGTGTATGCGTTTATGGCTTCGTTTATAGATCACTCATTGCCAATTCCTTTTGGTTCCTGGTTTACCCCATTGTTTTGCTCATGCTCTTTCTATGCAGTTTAAAGCATCAGCTGCATATAGAACACAACGGCAAAGGGTGATGTCCTTTGTGCGTGTGTATGTGTGTGAGTCAATGTGCATTTGCAGCATGCACCCGTATCCTCAAAAGTGACTCCAAACTGGGTGGACAGCTGTCAAAATTGGGGCTTGCACATACGCATATGCCGATTGCCAACGTGTTACTGAGTCGCCGATCTATTGATGAAAGGGGGGAATTTTCTTACCAGAGCTGATGATTCCACCGATGAGGGGTGAAACTATTACTGCCATCGTGGTGATGAATGAGGCTAACGATCAAAGAGTGACAATCTTTGTCTCCCTGGTAAGTAGGTAAGTAGTACCCGTGTACCAAGCGGCGCATATGACAGTATTTACAATGAGCCTCTTGCCTTTGTTGGTAAGGTCGTCATTCATTATCATCATCCTTTGGTGTGTGCTTTTCTTGTTTTTCTCTTCCCCTCCCCCCCCCACCTCCATCCCCTTGTTTCCATTATTATGCACATCATTACAAGCTTGGCTCTTTATAAGCTTAACATGGTTCGTGTGATGTGTGGATATCGTTACCCCGCATACCAGTACTACTACCTATAGTAAGTTTGCTTCAAAAGTGTAAGGGGGTGATGCAAAGTGAAGCACCAGACATGCGTATACACACACGCACGAGTTGCTACAGCGTGAACACTTCTTCAAACAGAAGCACCCAGTGCCGCACCGGGATCATCTCCTGATCACGCAGCACAAGGTCTCCCATGTATGTTGAATCCCATCCCTCTTCCTTTTGTGGACATTGCACCAACAACAAAAACATTGACTCTCATGTGATTGGTAACCTGTCTATGCTCATTGTGTGGAGGTGGATGATGGATCGGACTAAAAGTATAATGCTGCTGCTCGATATCCACGAGGGGGGTTGTTGCTGTCATTGTCCCTTTTTTGAAAGCAAGTTATCATGGACACAAAATCGAACAATGAATGATGCATAAACATCGACCCATGTTTGTGCAGGATGATGGTGGTGTTGCCACCATACTTGTAATAATATTGCCACCTCCATCCTCCACATCTCATATATACAAGTGGCCTGTCCACCTTTTTTCGAGGAGTATACGTGATGTGCTTTTTTCTCTCCATACCATATGGACATTCTCCCTTTACAATGGCTGCTCTCCTTTTCCCAAAGAACGAGCTTGGTTCCCAAACTTCAAGAAGACCGTTGCAAGTCATCAAGGTTTATTCATTTATAGTGTACATCCATATCCACTCCTTCCCCTTCAGTGAGAGTATAGCCTACTATGATACAATGATCCCCTTGATACACGACACGACCCATTTCCTTTTCTCCACAATCATCCAATCCAGATCCAAATGCTGCAAAGGAAACCACTTTTGAATACAAAAACAAATATAATATATACTGAATCTATTTTTTGGGATTGAAAGGTACTGAAAAGCCGGAAAGGAGCAATCGACCCTCAGTGTTGGTGTAGGCCGTGGTGTGGAAGTTGACATCAAAACCAGTCATTTTGGGGTAAACGTCAAATGAACCTTCGATTTCAGGGAAGAGAGCCAAGGCAGAAGGTGGGAAACCGATACCAATGTTGCCGTTACCATCACCTGCTGTAATAGCAAGACCAGGCCATTCTTTGAGACGTGGCAGCACAATTTCCACAAGCTTATCCATGAATTGATACATTTCCTCTCCTCGCAAAGTGACCTTCACACCCAATGGCATTCCTTCACTGGATAGATGCATAATGAGATTAGATGTTGTTGATGCTGATGATGATCCCTTTTTATCTTTCCTACTTACCGTAATTTCCAGTTAGCAACAGAGGTTCTGGCATAGACAATTTCAGGGCGAGTAGCAGTGATGCTTTGGAAGGCCATGAAAGCTGACAAGAGGTTGTTCTTTGAGTGGATGGCATCCTTGACCATGGCATGCAAGGTGATTTTGTCGAGCTTAGGGATCGTATTGGCACTCTTCAATGGTTGAATAGGCTTCACGGGTTTGCCGCCTTTTCGTGTACGGTGAGCATACTCTTGTTCTTCTTTTTGTGGTGCTTGTTGAGGTGTTTCTTCGGTAGCCAAAGCTCGGTCAATCAAAGCTTGAATATCGGGATACTTTGTGGTGGGTGGTGCTGCACGAGCATGATCGTATGTCAACACCATGAGATCTTCAGACAAGGTGCTGTCATAATACTCCTTGAACCTCAAAAGGCCGTGTGAAGAAGAAGCTGCACAAGGAGTCGTGCTGAATGGTCGTGAAGTAGCAGCTGCGAAACAACGTCTGTACATGGCAGCATGACGAGCTGCATTCTTGAACGACAAGGCCATGGCGGTAATGTGTTGAAGTTGTTTTGGTTCGTGAACAACAAGACACCGCTCGTCAAGACCACCACCACACAACCCAGCCAGAACATTTGGAAAATCGTGACTTGAACTGGTGGCTGCTGTTCCTCCTTCCCGATTTGATCATTGGCCGTTGCCATGGTGATGGTTAAAAAGGTTACTGCACGTGTCATCGCATGATCTCATCCACCCCTACCACCACCACTCTATTGTTATATATAAATGCGTGTAATAATGGATGTACAACTTTTTATAAGAGAAGAAGAAGAAGAATAAAACATGAATGAAGAAGGAATAGTCTACATGGATGCACCACCAGCAACAGCAATACCAGGACCACGTGTGGAGGATACATACACCTTTTGAATAAAGCCTATTTTCATTTCATAAGTACACATTCGGCACATGTATATGTTATCATCACTTACCCTTCAAATTATGAGACTTGCCGAATACTCGCAATTCCTCCAAGATGGCCTTGAGATTGGCTACCCTCTCTATGTTAATATCCAATCCTTGTCTTCTTTCATCATCATGACCCTTTGATTACCTTCAAGATCAGCACCGTCAAAGCTAACCTTGCCGATACCAGTATGCAATACACCATGCTTGTCAGCCTTGAAATCAAACGAGCTTTTTGACGTCCGTACAATGTTGGCGATATCTTCTGTCACAGTACCTACATTGACCCCATCCATGGATGTATCAGCACGATGCTATGAATAAAGTGATTCATTCTTGCTTACCCTTCTTAACAGTTGGCATTAAACCTTTGGGACCGAGAACACGTGCAATCTTGGTGACAGCAGGGAACATGGCTGGAGTGGAGATACACTTGTCAAACTTGAGATCACCATTTTGTACTTGCTCGATCAATTCTTGGCCACCAACATAGTGAGCACCAGCAGCTCGTGCCTCATCAGCATGCTTGCCGGTAGCAAATACCAAAATAGTAGCTTCTTGCTTGATACTACGAGGCAACACTAACGAGCCACGGATAATAGGTGTCGATTTCTCAATTTTGCACTGGATATGAGCTTCGATCTGATGCGATGGTTCACCGACTTCGAATGCCTTGAGTACACGCACAGCTTCTTGCATGTCAAGAGCGTCAGGATCTTCTCGTGCAGCTGCCTTTTTCTTCTTTTTTGACACATAGGATCGCGATTGCTGATTGTTGACAATGGCCGAGGTGGCGGCAACTCGAGGAAGAACAGTGCTACGTCGTCCGGCAACAGCGGCTGATCGTACAATGGACAGCATGTGTGTGTATGTATATTTGGAGAGAGAGAGAGAGAAGGTGTGTATGTGTGGGTGTCTGCGAGTTGAGAAAGCCGCTGAGCTAGTAAACAAAGCTGTTGACCCTTTTGCCACCATCATCCAGCGGGGATTCCTACACTGCGCTTTTTCAATCAATCCACCAGGAACAGGCCGTCTCCCCATAGTAGACCAACTTGTCCATTGTGCATCTTTATAATAAAATGGAGACTTTTCAATCATTTTTTACACATTTGAGTGAGGTGGATGCCCTCATCACATAACTGGTTTCAATCATCAACAAGGAACCCTTTTAGTAGTAAATGAAATTTCATCCTTTTCATTCTCCAAGTAGATATTAGCATGCCATGCGTATTAACAATCAAATGAACTATATTGCATATATACTGTTGAAGGAACTAGTAAACAATCAAATGATTTTTGTTAATGGGGGGGATATATCTGTCTAATCTTTCTTGAGTTCGGCAGACACCTTTTGCACAGTCTCCAAGTACACCTTAAGAGCTTCAGGATCCACAGTAGGAAGGATACCATGACCAAGGTTGGCAATGTGCTTACCATCCTTACCAAAAGCATGCACCATACGAGTAGCTGTTTCCCGGATAGCATCATGACCACCATACAACACGGAGGGATCCATATTACCTTGGAGTACAACACGATCCTTGGTGACTTGACGAGCGTATTGTGGGTCGATGGTCCAATCCAATGAGACAACTTCATATCCACTTTGCGAAAGATCCTCCAATGCAAACCATGCACCCTTGGCAAAGATCACCATGGGGACTTCAGGAATACCAAGCTCGCCCAATCTTTGACGCACCTTTTTGGAGATTTGCTGGATATAAGGAAGCGAGAAGGTTCTGAAATCATAAGGGCTAAGTTCACCACCCCAGGAATCGAATACTTGAAGAAGCTAATTTCAATCCATAGATCAGTATGCAATTGCTTTTCATAGGTTGTATCGCTTACCTGGGCACCAGCCTTCACTTGACCCACAAGGAATTCGACCGAGATATCAGTGATGCGTTGCAACAATGCATGTGCATCATCCGTGTACTTCCACAACCAAGATTTGGCCTTGGACAAGGTCTTGCTACCACCACCTTCAATCATGTATGCCATCAATGTCCATGGAGCACCAATGAAACCAAACAAGGGAACGCGACCCTCCAACTTGTGACGAGTGAGAGTGATAGCCTCATAAACGTATCCAAGTTCCTTGTCAACATCCACGTGCTCACGCAAGCGTTTCATGTCATCGGGAGTAAAGAGAGGATCGGTAAAAACAGGACCACGGCCCTCCACCATTTGAACATCCAAACCCATAGCTTGAGGAATCACCAAGATATCAGAAAAGATGATAGAGCCATCCAACAAACCACCATAACGATCAATGGGTTGCAACGTCAACTGACAAGCCAACTCGGGTGTGCGACAAATCGTGAAAAAGCTATGGTGCTTGCGCAATTCTCGGAACTCTACGAGGATACATTCAATACATGGTCATACATACATATCGATTCAATGAAAGGAGGGGTTTTCAATAGTGGTATAGGTATGTCTATGTACCTGGCAAGTAACGACCAGCTTGTCTCATGATCCAGATTGGTGCACGTTCAACCTTCTCGCCTACAATGGGCTCCCTCGCGTCAATGGGTCTGAATTCAACACAAGCATTGTAAAATTACCGCGAGCAGCACGCAGCAACAAGTCATTCTTGAGAGGAGGGAAAGCAGCGGAGGAGCTCATGTTGTTGATTAGCAAAAGCTGGCTCTGTCAAGTCCTACCGGCGATGGTAACCGAGCAGCGGGCTCCCAATGCAACATCAGCTTCTTTGAATACCACGTGACACCCCACAGACATCCACCCTATTGCTACCTTCTTACATGCTAATAGTAGTAGTAGTAGTAGTAGTAGTAATGGGATTGCAATAGTTGATAAAAATAAAAAAGGATTGTCCATAAGGTGGATCTCACTCTGATGCATTGGCCAAGGATCATGGGGATAGCATCAATAGCCATTCTTCACAGAGTTTGGGCCTTATTTGCTATCAGCGTCCATGCTTGCTTGGGATGATAAGGTTGGGTTCATGGAATGATAGCTACATCGCACACATGGATTAGTAGAAACGAGCAACTTTGACCACTTATCTAATGCATGAACAAGCAAGAAGAAGGGGAATGAGAAATGATGAAAGCTGTCTTTTATTATACTTGTATACGGCGATATCATGTGAAGGATACAACTCTACCTAATACCCATGTCCAAAAATATACATGTAGCAATAGCGCATGATTGACGTCGAAGCCTAGAAAGGGATTGATCACTCCAACGTGGTTCATGCATATGGGTCGTTCATCAAGCAAGGTGATTAGGTCTTATTACAACAATGGTCAAATATCACAATGAAGATCAAGACAATGAAAGCATTATGATGAAGCCCTTTGTATGAATAGCAATCATTAATCAGTGGCATCAATCTTCCGTCTTAGCTACCTAAACCCAACTTTTTGTGCCCGTATACATATACGCATTACAAATGATCATGTCATTGTTAGTAGTACGCTATCAACATTTATTACATCATGTTTTAGGATGGCTGCTTCTTGTATGTTTAAGCATTCGAGTCACGATGTAAGCAGTAATGGTAATACAATTGCATTGATATCAGCAACATGATACCCTATCTACCCTCAGGGATATGTCGGCTTCCTCAACGTCGGTGCAACTTGTACATCATACCTGTGCCTTCATTAGCAAGGCCTGAATAGTCAATGATAGCTCAACATCTCAAGTATCTATATAAAGAGCTGGAGTCGACACCTTGTTTATTGTTCTCTCTACCATAACCAACATCATCAGCTTGGCTAATGGGGCTTTCACTGCTTGCAAGTGGATAAGAAATGAAGAAAACACTCCCCTGATTTGATCACTCGGTATTCGCTTGCCGGATGCGACACAACGAGTAATTTGCAGATGACTTTTAACTCCGAATTCTGTGTATAGGCACCAGCATTCCAAAGGTGGTAGCTATCATCAGTCAATCGGATGCAAGCTATCCATCATCAATGTATACGGGATATTTTGGAAGCAGTAAGCAGGTTTATATGATACGTAGTAAGCTAAATACACTACTCAAGATTTGATAAGAAGGCATTACATCTGATCATTATCTTTGAGAATGAAGAAGAAGAGCTTTTTTATACGGGCAATTGTAGGGTAGGATATGCAAGGGAAATGTAGATGAGTCAAACTAAGGAATCCGGCATAAGAGTGGCGTGTTCAGAAAATGGAATGTTTCCGCTGACGGGGGCAAGGAAAGATGTGCAGAGAACACCTTCGGAGTGAAGCATCATCCGACAAAAAAAAAGTTCTGGCTCCCCTTCATTTTTCATTTCATCTCTCGCTCGCTCGCTCTCTCTTTTTTTTCCTTTTTTAACCCTCTCTTTTTCTCTCTCTCTTTATTTTACTTTCCCGTCTTGGCCTACGTAAGATATCTCACTGATGGCTGTCAAACTGTATACCCAATCTGAGGTGGCACGCCACAACAATGCAAAGTCTTGCTGGGTCATCTTTGACGGCAAGGTGTACGACGTGACCGAATTCATTCAGGACCATCCCGGTGGTGACGATCTTATTCTGGACTATGCTGGCAAAGATGTCTCGGCGATTATGCGAGATGTCTTGGAACATGCCCATTCCGATGCAGCGTATGAGATTTTGGAGGAGTATTGTCTCGGCACCTTATCCCGCAACGATGGTAACAGCAACAGCACCCTTCAAGGCGAGGATGAAGAAGAAGAGGAGGATTACACTCGTGAAGACTTCCATCCCAAGGAGACCGACTTGGCACTTGATGCAAAGAAGAATCAGTTTTTGGATTTGCGAAAGCCACTCATCCCACAAATGTTGCGAGGCAACTTTACCAAGGAGTTCTATCTGGAACAAGTGCATAAACCTCGATACCTTCCCAAGCCTGCTCAATTCTTTGGTCATTGGTTATTGGAGCCCTTGAGCAAAACGGCATGGTGGGTAGTGCCCGTTATCTGGTTGCCGGTGGTGGGTTATCATTTGATGAAATCGTTGGAGGACAATATGCCGGTTGTAAGCACGCTATCATTTGCTCTGGGTATCCTCATTTGGTCGTTGCTTGAATATGGATTGCATCGCTTCCTTTTCCACGTTGATGAATGGCTCCCTGATCATCAAATGGCGTTCACTCTTCACTTTACTTTGCATGGTTTCCATCATTATCTCCCCATGGATCGGTAAGTAGTTTGTGTGCGTGTGACAAGGGTGTGTGTATATGAATGATAGCCTAATCTATGTACTGCTTATAGCCTTCGATTGGTCATGCCACCTGCTTTGAATGTATTTATTTCTTATCCATTGACTCGTCTTGGTCACGCATTGTTCCCACCCGTGATGGCTTATGGTATTATCGCCGGCGGTTTCCTTGGTTACGTCTTGTATGATTGTGTCCACTACTACTTGCATCACGCCAAGGTGTTCAAGATCCACTTTAAGGAGATGAAAAAGTATCACATGGCTCATCACTACAAGGACTTCGACACGGGTTATGGTATCACTTCCAAGATGTGGGATTATGTCTTTGGCACGGTGCTCCAATACAAGGATGAGTAAATAACAGCATCGACACCACCCCTTCATCTACCGTACCCGTCGCATATCCAAATACGCTCTTCTTCTCCTTTCTCTTTCGATTTGCATTTCTTTGTTTTACTCTTACTATTGAAACCTCTAATCTTTTTCTGTTTGCAATCGCATCATACGCATCCACATATTCTCTCTCCCCTTCTCTAGTACTGAAAATTATTCCTTTGTTGTTTGTAATCTACTATACTCTGCTGTAATGATAAAGTATCTTTCTTGTGCCCTCGGCAGTAATCCATAAATGTGGAGATGGTGGTATCATAAGATGGAAATAAGGTTTCTTTTATGTGAATGGATGGGTGTTTGTTTGTATATACGCTTCCACATATCTGATGATCTAAAGTTATTGCCATCCATATGTCATCCAATTTGCCCATACTAGCTTGCTATGGAAATAAATGTATAGCCGTACGCGTAGCACATTTCTTTATATGTTCCTGCTGCTACTACTGCTGTCTCGCACTCCGTCGTTGATGGATTTGTTCCCCATAGAGGAAGAAGAAACATTGGGGGCCACTGGCTCGTCCGGCGCATTAAGACACGCTTGAATTAAACCCTTGCCTTCTGGTTTGGTGACCAACGGTTGCAGTTTTGGTGTTGTAAAGGTATACACTAAGCCTGTTTCTGATACAACTAGCAACAATACTTGAGTGCCTGTCAAGGTGCTCAGCTCATAAGCCTATACATTTATATACAGTGGATGACATAAATAAGCGTCTGATGATTCAAATGTATCATCGAGGAGTCCTTCTTTTACCTTTTTCATAATCCCTGCCTTCCTCTTTGAAAAAGTAATGTGACGTCTTGACCGATCTTCAATGTATTCAATCTTGATTTTACGTCGCCCGTTACGTTTATGATTGGGGATATCGGGTTTACTTGCAGCATCATCTTCTTCAGAGTCATCATCTGGTTGCAGTGGTGAACGAAAGCCTTGTGGGGTGGGAGTATTAACCCCTCCTTGGATGGATGCCAAAGATGATGATGGTTGTGCTGCTGCTGCTTGTGATGGATATAAGCAATTGGTTGTGGCTTCTTGTTTTGTATCAGTGATGGGAGTAGAAGATGGCATTTGTTGCATGTTTCAAGAATGGTCTATGCGCACATGGACGCCTTTAATGTGAGAGTAAGGATATACAAGTGCGTGTGTAAGTGTGTGTGTGATGGAACGAAACGAAAAGAAAAAAAAGAATGAAGATCTCCCAAAAAGGAGAGTAACGACTTTTTAATTATATCATCTGCGGAACAATAGATCTTTTGCATGAGATGATGCTGATATGAGTGGGAGAATAAGCAAGGAGAGGTGAGACGCGGTCTTCTGCCCTTTGACATCAAACGAAAGGAGGTTCGGATATATCGAAATCGATAGAAAAGGCAATTAAGGAGATAAACAACAATTTGCATCGTACTGCATTAGCTTGATGTCACATCATTTGTATACGGAAAAGAGAAGCCGACCCCAATTACTGGTCTTTACATACAGCATATTGACGCCATTCCTGTCAATCCTTCCTAGGCCGATAGGTCTCTGTATTTATGGGTAACATGATGGCATCTACGCCGTTTATTGAAATGCAACATCCCACTTTGTAGCCATAGCCATACTACTTCCACTAGCGAATCCGGTTCCTTCTGCACTCATATCAACAATGTCTTTGGATTTGGTTTTCTTCTCGCATACATAACACCTCTTGGATTTCTTGACAAACATATCCACACACGTGTTGCATATGACATGTCCACAATTACGCATTACTGGGAAAGAGAAAAGTACATCAGTGGATGTGTTGGAGATTGTACCCTATATTCCCATATCCATACCTGAGAACTTCACAGAGTTGTTCAATGTCTTGAGACATGCTGGACACTGACATTTACTCTTGTTGCCCTCTTCTTGCTGAAACTTGACTTCGATCAATGACTTCAAGCTAAGTCAAAGTAGGTGAGCACCCTTTTCAGAATAAAGTGCCTTATACTCTACTTGATTTACCTGACAGGATGGGGCGTTTTGGTTGCTAAGCACATGGTTTGCGTTGAGATGGGTTTGATTTCATCCTTCAATTGCTTCTCGGCTTCAGGGGTCAAGGATGGCTATTCAATACACAGGTCGAATAACCACAATGAGCCATATAGCTTGCCTCGCTCTCTCTCTCTCTCTCTTCCTTTCTTACCAGCCAAAAGCTTGATAATTTGGGAGCGGATGCTCGTGCCTTTTCTTCAGCAAGACGCTTGGATGCCTTGTCCAATTCCTTATCAGCCGCTTCCTTCACAGCATCCTCGGTCAATTCGAACTTTCGTTTGGTGCCTGCAGATGGTGTTGTGTTGCCAGAGCCACTCTCTAGATATATAAATGATAAGAAAACCTAATCTCACATGGCCTCTCTCTAATAGCACATACCAGTGCCATTCTTCTGAGCTGACGATGGTGATGAATTTATGCTATTCTCGGTTGTAGACGTCGATGTTGTTGTTGTTGCTGCTGCACGTGGTGCACGACGACCAAGCATACTCGTTTGTGTCTTTTCAAAATCATCCAACAATGCTTGCTTGGCCTCCTCGGTTTCTCGAGCCTTGAGATTCTCTAGATCACGCACTTTTTGCTCCATGAGCCGCTGTTCTCGCTTGATGTTTTGCTTTTGCTGCAGGATCGACTCGTACATGCATTCACGACAAGCAAGATGCCCCTCTGGACATGCTACCGGATCACGAGCAGTTTGTAAACAAAGAAAGCAGGCATTGTACTCTCGGAAAGAATCGCGGCCGATGCGTTGCTGTAGTGAATAGGCAAGCTGTCAGCAAACGGATGGATACTGCAACACGTCCATTGGTTCTCGTTGTCTACCTTTTTCGTGCCGTAATCAAGCGATTTAGTCTCATGATAAGTGAAGACGCTGGATGCCGTGTTGTTTTTGGAATGACGAGGCATGATTGGAGAAGGTAAAAAGTTGGGTTGCGCTGTGTTGAGAGGAGGAAAGAGATCGACTACCGCATTCGGTTGACAAGCCCAAAATTTAGGTTATCTCGTCCACTTGGGTTGATGCATACGCTAGTTTACATTATTCTCATTGTAATTGATTTCGAAATGGATCTTATTAAACAGTGATATATGTCACTATGGAGACCGATTGTAAATGGAATGCGTCGATGGCTGTTGCAAAGTGCCAAGGATACTGTACTCATCATGTAATGATCTTTGTGCAGGGTTGATATGACGGGCTGAAGCAGTACAATCGTTCGTAGGTGGTAGTTGTATACTTGAATGGACCAACAGTTGGGAACGGGTGGAAGAGGCAGGAAGCCGGGAGTGGAAGAGGTGGAGACTGAGTAGGTTGAATGATGATGTTTCTTTGTTTGAGCATTGTTCAGTCAAATCCTCTCAGATCAAGGAAGTTGAAGGATGGAGACGATGGGCTGGAGCAGGACAATCGTTCATATGTCATAGAATAAACAATAGTGCCAACCTCGATGAAAAGGCTGTTATCTCGCAGTTTATTTACTATCTATGCCGTAGCAACGACTATGTTTAAATGAGACAACGAGATAACCAGAGGAACAATGTGACACCAAACGATCTTCGGCAAATCAAAGTGGACCTACTCATGTCCTCGGAAATAAAAAGTAGCCGTGCACAGACCACATACTCTTGTTTCAGCTCCTGGATGATGCACCTACCCAAAAGTTACATGTCAACAATGCCTTAAACCATTTGCTACTATCCATGGCAGCGACAATCACGTGTTGTAAAAATGGCTGGGCGGTAAAAAGTGTGTCGGGGTTTACACGCGTCTCATAACAGCAGCGTTGCGTAGCCAAGGCAACGGTTGATCTCAACCAAAACCAACCAGGTTTCCCCTGATCAAGACCGTTCAAGGCCATTGTCATCGTTGAACACTTGTGGGAAGTCTAAAGAGGTAAGTTGGAGTGAAGGATCGTTACAACTACGTTGTTTCACTTGGTTGCATTAGGTGGCAATAGTGTGCTCTTTATTTGGGGACCTGTTTACTATTGGCATCTCAAGAGGTATGTTGGGCTTGTTCTATTATGACAATCTCTCACTCATTGTCTACTTTAGACTACACTACCATTGACTGGGAAAAGTTGGCTATGGGGATTGCATGTTATTGAATCTTCCACCTTTTGGCTTCGTATTGTTCCAAGGACACTCCCTCGCCCCAGTATCGTTCTGGTATCCCCCCAGCGGCAAGATGCACGTATGACTATGGCTTCACGCAGTAGGTGCGGCGCATATGATCGCAAGTGGTCTCTTGGCCTATTCGAGATCGTCAACAAGCTTGGTCCAACTGGGAAGCGTGCCAAGCCGAGCACATTGCTCTAATAAATACACCACGTTTCATTGTAAAGTTCGGAGATACAGGCACCTTTACGTTTGTAAGCGTGATGCTATATGAGAAGTGGTCTTTGTTCATTGTCAAGTAGCTAGACCCTGGGAGAGAGCCAAAGATGCAGAAGGACCTCTTTGGGTAACTCAGCTAAAAGTCAGGACTTCAGTGACAATGCATGAATGGTACGCAACCCTCACTTTGATGTCATACACTGGCAGCCAATAGCCAATTTTTGTGCATTCCCAACTTTTGTGCATTCTATTGTAGGTGGACGATGCTCCTGCTCTAGACATTCATTTCCATGATTAAAGTAGGTTGATCCGAGCTGACGGCTGGAAAGCTACGCTCACACAAGATTACATCGGTTGAGCTACATCGAGCGTGCTTTATGTCCAGAGTGATGTAATCTCTCTTTGACCGTAGCTCAGTCAAATCAGCTCGGATCAACCTACTTTAATCATGGAAATGAATGTCTAGGAGTAGGGCATCATTCCCATGCAGTGGATCTCGCAACAATGATGATTGGATAAAAGTGGCCGTTAGCTAGCAATACATGCCTGTTCCTAGATGATCCATAAAGTAATTATACATTGACCCTTTCATTCATGCGAACGTAGCTGTGTTACACAACACGATCCTCTGCATCTTTTGCTCTGCCAGTGTCCACCTACTTGACAATGGACAAAGACCACTCTTCATATAGCATCACGCTTACAAACATAAAGGTGCCTGTATCTCCAAACTTTACAATCAAACGTAGGGTTTTTATTAGAGCAATGTGCTCAGCTTGGCCAACTGTACCTTGTGTGAAAGTTTCACGTTCAATGTCGCAACTAGCCCAAAAAATATTTTTTGGTCGTCGTCGTCGAAGAGGTCGACCCCCAGATCCAGTTTGGCTGGTGGCGCATTGCGAAATCTGGGATTGGCAAGCTTGATCATGAAACTGGCACCCAAGGTGCAGTTGGCGAAGCCGAGCACATTGCTCTAATAAAAACCCCACGTTTGATTGTAAAGTTTGGAGATACAGGCGTCTTTATGTTTTTACTATGCTGTAAGCATGATGCTATATGAAGAGTGGTCTTCGTTCAATGTCAAGTCGCTGGACCCTGGCAGAGCAAAAGATGCAGAGGGACCTCTTTGTGTAACTCAGCTACTTTGCCTGACTAGAAGGATGGAAGGATGATACTGTATACTATTGACAATATCCCATACATTGCGAGCTAACAGCCATTTCCTCACAATCGGCAATGTTGCCCATTCTATGACAGTGGAACGATGCTCCTGCTTCAGACATTCATTTCCATGATTGGATTATGTTGATCCGAGTTGATTTGGCTGAGCTACGCTCATACAAGGTTACTTCAGTTGAGCAACATAGAGCATGGTTAGATGTGTGGATTGATGTAATCCCTCTTTGGCTGTATCTCGGTCAAATCAACTCGGATCAACATAATCCAATCATGGAAATGAATGTCTGAAGCAGGAGAATCGCTCACATGTCATAGAGTGGACAACAGTGGCTATTGTGAAGAAATGGCTGTTAGCTCGCAATGTACGGGCTTTTGTCAACAGTATACAGTATCATCCTTCCATCTTTCCAGTCATGCAAAGTAGCTGAGTTACACAAAGAGGTCCCTCTGCATCTTTTGCTCTGCCAGGGTCCAGCGACTTGACATTGAACGAAGACCACTTCCCATATAGCATCACGCTTACAAACATATAGGTGCCTGTATCTCCAAACTTTACAATGAAACATGGGGTTTTTAATAGAGCAATGGGCTCGGCTTGGCCAACAGCACCTTGTGTGCAAGTTTCGCGTTCAATGTCGCAACTAGCTAAAAAAAATATTTTTTTGGTCGCCGTCGTCGAAGAGGTCGACCCCCAGATCCAGTTTGGCTGGTGGCGCATTGCGAAATCTGGGATTGGCAAGCTTGATCGTGAAACTGGCACCCAAGGTGCAGTTGGCGAAGCCGAGCACATTGCTCTAATAAAAACCCCACGTTTGATTGTAAAGTTTGGAGATACAGGCACCTTTATGTTTGTAAGCGTGATGCTATATGAGAAGTGGTCTTTGTTTAATGTATAGTAGTATGACTATAATAGAGCAAAAGATGCAGAGGGCGTGTTTGTGTAACTTGAGTCATTCAGCACAGGCGATGCATGATTCTTGTACACTATTTAGGAATAGTTCAAAATGACAGCTAATAACCTAGTCCTCCCATTCTCCATTGTTGCCCAATCCAATGCATACGAACGATTGTCCTGCTCCGGCCTAGCATGCCCATCATTCAACTTTCTTGATCCGATGAGATTTGGCTGAAAAACGCTCAAGCACAGAAACATCATCCAATATCAGAAGAATCAAATTGGTAAGTTATTTGTAAACTGCCGGTTAATAGCCCATTCCTCCCATTCACCTTTGTTGTCCAATCCAATGCATACGAACGATTGTCTTGCTCCAGCCCAGCATGCCCATCATTTAACTTTCTTGATTCGAGCTAACCTGGTAGTAAGGTAATGGCTGTTGTTGGATCATCATTATCATGTAAAGTGTAAAATGGCACACACCCTTTTGCTATACGTCAGGATCAGTTCTTTTATTTGCGTGTACCTGTTGTCTATTACGAGGATGATGATGGGTGGATAGTGTGTGTATAGCGTAATTGAGTGGCCTCAGTGTAATAGCAGTAGGGGATTTAAACTTGGGGGTCGGCAGCTCCACGACTTGAGACAACGCTTCTCTTCTTTTTCTCCCACCTTTCCTTATTCCATTCACGACATTGCGATCAAGGTAATGTATTATAGAAGAGTGCTCTTGTTGTTTGTGAGGCATTAACATAGTTCTGAACATGCATTGTCAGGGAGTGAGTGTGTCCAAAGTGCTGAGGAATGAGCGTGGTTGGTGGTTGGTGGTTGCCATGGCGATATTGTTGCTTCCTTTTGCTCGTTGCTATTCCCGGTCTACGCTTGGTGTCAACAGGTACATTCAGAGTCCAATGTTGCAGCCGAATTGGTTCCGTTGACGCGTCAGCTTGTATAGAGGGCAAGTTTGGTTTCAAGACGTTGGCTGGTTTGGCGTTTTGTTTCGGCTCAACAACACTACACCATGGTTTTCGGTTTCCAGTAACCAACAACAACGGGTCTTTGTGTATATGGAAAAGGCAAGTACAATGAAACAAACAATGAAAAGGGTGTTTATTGTGCGTGTGTGCTAATAATGAATTGAATAGGTTTCTTTGGTCAGGCAATGCAACTTGGGGCATCATCATCATCTCTTTGGGTTCAAGTCCCAGCCTGTACCAAGTGGCCGCTGCATCGCTCTGCACTAGCCAAGCGTGCTGGAAAGCTTCTTGGAACGCGTCCAGGGCTCTACGGGCCTGCGTTTGAGTTGATGGATCGATGACGATGGGTTGTTGGAAGAGCATGGTCACCGTGTCGAGGTAAAAGGGGATTTGCAACAGCTTGTGAATGTGTTGAACCAACACGCTCTTCTCGTGATAGGCTCGTTCTTTCCCTTGAGGATTCTTTTCATGAGGTGGGAAATGATTGGAAGGGATTGGGGATCTTTCTTTCTTTGGAGAGGATGAATGGGAACAACTATGAGCCTGGACTCTACGTAAGTGATGTCCTTCCTTGCCATGGATCGAACTGGCTTTGCGTGGTGATTGGTTTGTGAATTCCTTCTGATTTGCTTTCTTCCTTAGAGAGGATCGCCTAACGGTATACCAAATCGTCATCATTCCCGGCACCGGATGGTCTAATGTGGCTGCTTTTTACTTATAAAGACGACCATTACGATGCATATTCACAACGATGGTGATTACGATGATTACGACATCCACAACAATGACAATGATCATCACATTCACAACAATGACAATGATAACGCAACAAGATTCAAAAGGAAGCCTTCAAGATCCCGTTCTCTTCAACTTGTGTGTTTTTGGATATTGGGTGACGATGAGATTGACGACTGCTGACGGATACGAGTACGAATGATGACGGATACGAGTACGAATGATGACGGATACGAGTACGAGGATGGTGGTGGCAATGTATCAAGATAGCTAGATGAAATAAAGCATTGTTTATTTATTACACGCTTGTTGGAGGTTGCTAGCTTGTTGATTACATACTATTGCTTCGAAGATGGAATAATAAAGGTGGTCCGATTATCGGTCATGCAAGAAGTATATGGCTTTTGTGATACAATAACGAGGAGTGGGAAGTGGGATGACCTTGAGAAGAGAAAAAGTAAAGTGATCCCTCCATTGAGTTTCAGGATGATTGGATTGATTACTGGTGGGTTTACATATACAGATTGGTTTATGCAGCTCGACCTTCTCCTACATGCAAAGGAGATACATGGAACCCTTATTGTCGATGCATACCACAAACTATGGATCAGCATCTCACACTCACAACATGCACACATTAAGTAGTTGACGACCCTGAGTCGCTTCCCAATTGTATTGCAGCCATCCCAACATAAACCATTTTCGCGACTCATTGGCCAGCAAGTGGCATTTACATTGACTTGACGATGTTTCCCTTATAAAAAGTCACCTCCTTCGCGTTTCTTTTTTCCTCTTCTTCATTGACTTTGGTCACTTTTTAAAACTGGAATGATATAGAAGTTTAGCATGGTTCCTGCAAAAGGATGACGCTACCTCGCTGAGAAGGATAGCTCTACTGAGCGCTTATCATAAATAATGGAAGTACTTCTCTGATGAGATGAGTAAGTTCAAAGAGCTTTTTTTTATCACAAAGAGCAATGACAATGACCCTGAAACGTCTATGGTTTATGAGCTCCTTTTATACAATGAAAATGGTCATATGCAAACTCTTGTCAAACAATGAATTCTGCTACGCTATCATGTACCCGGATCGCAGGTCTCCCTTTGAAGCTCTTTATCCCATGTAATGCCTAGCCCATCGCTGTGAACCATCACCTTCATCCATCCATGTGTGTTCTTCAATCTGATCTCTTGTTTTTCCTTTGCTTTATCAAGTTGACGTTGTAATACTACTTCTACATACTGTAATCCATCAAAGCGGTAAAGTGGCCTGCGCATTGAAAAAGGTTGTGGGATACAATATCAGTGCCTCTGCCTTGATCCATACTGCTTTATGCATCCACAGCCTTACATAGTAATCCAATCTCGGTGTTTTCCATTTCCTTCATCATCCTGACGTTGTGATGCTGCTTGCCAATGATACTCATAAGCGGCAGGCATAGTGAGAAAGAGAGTCGAACAAACGGTGCCAAAAGGCAGCTTCAAACACAAAGGGTATTCCTCCACAGGAGATAATCATCAACAAAACACGAAGCTTGATAGGATCTCATGATTGTTCGCAAGTGCTGATAACTTGGTACAGGTATAAACTTCTGTGGTCGTGTTGTGCAATGGTTACATGGAGCCAATCGTGAAGGTGGGACTTGCTGGAGACGAACAAAAAGATACCCTCCACACACGACAAACGACGCGACCCAATGTTGTTTTCCCAGTCAATGTCGAGTGTTGTTTGTGCTGCTCTTGTCATTTGGAGCATTTACATGGTGCAATCGTGGCTGGAGGTACGTGTCAAGAAGAAGTACAAAGGAAAGCTGAACCCGAAAATCATTGGGTGTAACTCCTGATTTATCTCATGTATGTAGAAGCTTGCCATGGGTTATCCTAAGATACCAACGCCACCTTACATCCTATATACGTCGTTCGCATCGGTGATGAAAGCTTCCTCAGGAAATCGTTACACAGCGCAGCTGCCGCATTAATCGTGATCATAGATCAAATTTGGTAAGCAAGGCACAGCCACTGATAGGCAAGCATGGTGGTGGAGTGATGCAACTCACACCATTGTCTTGTAGGTCAAGCACACTCTTTTCTGGGCACGTCATCATCACTTGGAGGCTATGACATAAGAATCAACCATGCTATGTTAGGCGGAGGAGCTTCAATCGGTAGTATTGCGATGCCATAAGTTACAATGAATAAAGCACTTCTCCCACAACAATTTACTTTCTTGGTAACACAGAAATGCTTAGCCAACGGCACTAAGCTGAGTCTTTTCAACATGATCTTCCACATGTGGCGTCCTTCTTGATATCTTTATAACGTGTGAGAAAGCTATTTCATCGGCATGTATCATACTCTATTCTCTCTATTTATCTTCTTCCTGCAAGCTGGTTCTTCTCTCATTGAAGATACTTTTGATTTCCTATTCACATCCCCCACATTTACCGTTACAACTGTCACCGCGTCCTTGATAACCGTCAATCGTCATCCCACTGCGAACAAACTTAAACGTAGCGCCTCGTATCCACCACACAATTCGATTTCCAATATCGCACGAGACAACCCAATGAAGATTATAGACTCATCCAAACGCAACAGCAACTTGGTCAGCGAATTCGAGCACATAGGCCAATACCTTCATACAATCGAAGAAAACAAGCAAGTTAATAAGCTACCAGAGCATGCAGCATCGTCATCGTCGTCACAACCACCACCTGTTCCTCCTAAGACCTCCGGTATAAATTGGCGTTTTGTATCATGGAACAATGCAAGTCTCAGCAGCAGAGCATCTTCACCATTCAAGGAGTGGCGTGTATCAAAGAATAATACAGTTCGCAAAAGCACAGCCTCCTCGTCGTCATCATCATCAGCAACAACGCCATCATTATCATCAACAACGCCGTCGTCGACACCATCATCATCATGTGGATCACCAAATCAAAAAAAGGAATGCATGATCTGCTTTGATGATTTTGAAGAAAAGGAGATTTTTCACACGAGTCAATGCCAACATTACATGTGTCGCCAGTGCCTTACAACTTACCTTACTACATACACGGAGGCACGTCATGATGACTATTCGAGAATCCCATGTCCAGGCCATCAGTGTAAGGAAGGCTCTTTTGATTCACAAGATATTGTGTCACGTGTCATGTCACCTACTGCAGCTGACGCTTGGTGGTTTAAAATCATTCGACGTGACGTTCTTGAAAGCTATGTAAGTTGATGAACATGCATCCATATACACATCTTATCTTTTGCTTACCCAATACAGGGCTATTGTCCATATAGCGATTGCAAAGCGATGTTTGAATTGGATGAGGCAGAGCTTGAGCAACAACGATTGAATCGAGCTGCAGCACAACAAACACCCGCCACCACCAGAGCTGGTTTCACAAAGACATTGTTTCGTCGACGCTTACGACGCCAATCACAACCACCTCCTCAACCACAGCGCACCATGGTAGAATGTCCAAAGTGCCATCGTGGTATTTGTTTGTGGTGCGAGCATCCATGGCATGATGGTGAGTAAGAAGAGTGTGACCTTATTTTGACAACATTCAAATCTGTGGCACTCATCACGTGTATTACTTGATGATGTAGATTATTGCAAAGAAAAGCCCACAGGTCGATGGCGACGAAAACATGATGTTTCAGAAATGCTCCTTCAAAACGAAATGAATCGCCAAAATTCCATCGCTGCACGCCAACTTGCTCTTCAACAAGGGTGGACACGTTGCCCGCATTGTAGAGAAGTCATTGCTCGTTCGGTAAGCTATCATCGTTGTTCTAACGAAAACAAGTTTTTTAATCGAGTGGTGGTGCTATGCATAGTATGGGTGCAATGCCATCAAATGCCGCTGTGGATATGAGTTGTAAGTACATCCATCTTTTTGTTGTAGGGTATCCCAAGCTAACAATAGTGATCCTAGTTGTTATCTTTGTGGTTCAAGATCGAGGAGCCATAATTGCTTGGGCAAATGCCATCAGCTAACAGCTCAACAAGTACAAGAATTGCGCAACAAGATGTATGAAAAGAGTTCAAGTGAGATGGGCAAGAAGCGCTTCGGATCTGCATAGTAAATAGAAAGCGGGCTGTTTCTGGTCACCAGGTATACCAAGTATTATTATCATTACCTTGCGGATGCTTCTATATGCGTATTCGGATTTGCTCTCAATCAGCTCAGCCCACAAAGAATCTCCAATGTCAGCATCATAGCACAACATGATCTACTTGATCTTTCTCTCCCTCGTTTTCTTTCAACACTCCCTCCCCCCTGACACAATTCGGATAAACATATACAGTAACTATCTTGGCACCATCATGATGCATTTATTATATGCGGGTAATAATAAAGATGACAAAAAAAATAAACAACCGTTATCTTGTAAAGGAAGGAATCGACCTTTTGTTTGGCTGTTGCAGGTACATGCATCAACCTTGGAACGCTAAACTCTCTCCCTCTCGTCTCTATCATTCTTCCCCTGAATGTTTCTCGGCCGTGCCCGCCCCCCAACATAGCGTCACCCCAATGTACATATACGTTATTGTCAATTCTTTACTCATCTCGCGCGAAAACTATGGTTTATTTGTTGCAATGTAACTGGACGATCATAAATGTTTCGGAATGACCCTTGCTCGTTACGTTTTCATTGTTGTTTGTGCATTGTGGATGCGTGCACCATGCATTGTGTGTGTATGTTGGGGTGGTGTGAAGGCACATATTGAATCGATTCGGTTCTTTGCAATGTCAGTTGCTTATCTCCGCGAGCATTACATATACATGATCTGGATCGGTCGTCGTCGATGATGTCGGTGCATCAGCAGCTATAGCAACAGCAAGTCGTACTACCATCACCAGTTGCCATGGGTACAAGAAGCTGCTGCAATTTAATCATCATCCGCTTTCTCATGAATAGCGTCATCGTTGTTCCATGATGATGATGATACCATTTCTTTTGGATCCTCCTCCTCCTCCTTATGCCGGTAAAAATCATTATCCGTGAATCGAAATGTAGTGCAACGGAATTCGTGATCATAGAGAAGAATGACATTTGCCGTCAACTTTGCATGACGATGATCGAGAGGGTGTACGTAAAATGTAGAACATCCATTTGAAATGTGTCGTTGGGGGTCGCTTTCAATTGGCAACACAATGTCGTGTCACCGTTCCTTCACGCCGAGGAGCCTTCAAATCCATATCCCTTCCATAACCACCAGTCATATTCTCACGTGGAAATGAGTTGTTGTATAATGATACAGATTCTGATAATGCTTTACTGGGACCTCATGTGATTCGTATGTAAGATGAGTTGCAGCAAGATGATAGGACCCTTGTAACTCTGATAGCTTCGGGTATGATGATACAAATGATGCATTGGACGTTGATCATGATGATGGTAACTGTGATGGGGGATCTGCATGTTTGGTACTAGTAACAGATATCGTCATCCTGCCGACCCGCGATCGTCTTCAAGAGCACCGAATGTCAACGATTGGAATCAATGGCAACCATGATGCAGAGTGCTGCATGTACACGATCCGACCTGGTTGTAAAGGTATCTCATCAGTCCACATGGGCAATCGGTCGACGTTGTGGTGGTTCTGATAAAGTCGCGTCAATGGACAAGGCAAAAAGGGTAATTCCCTCTCTCCCTTTCTCTCTTTGCAGGTGGCGCGCGAGTGTAAATGCCCGACGACATTTTGCACTACCATCACGTTTTTCGGTTCTTTTTGGACATGTCATACTCATCCATGCAAGAGGGTGCAGCCAATGGAAGTATTACAACATCATCATCCTTGTGCCCTGATTCTCGCCCTTTTGAACAACAGCATTTTTCTACCCCTAACTCGTGAACAAGGTGCCAATGGATCGGGGGAAACGGAGCATCTCTACTCTCTGTCGTTGGCGGGTTGCACAAGAGGTCCCTTGTACTTGTTCATGTTGCACAGGGCTTATGCAAGCCATTTTTGCATGCAGCAAACATTTGTATACAATTGCCGAAACCACGGATACCCCAATTCTAAAATCAAAAAGAGTTTTTAATGTAGTAATGTTGAGCTTAATATGAGTATTATATGTACACAAAAAAGGGATGGTGAATGGGTGAGTTGAGAGAGAAAGAAAAAGGGGGTATTTTGAGAATTGGTGATGGTATGCGTAAGAGAGAGAGAGAAAAGAGGGAGGGAGAGAGAGGACACAAGGAGAAAAGACAGGGTATGTGCGAAAAAGGGTGACAAGAAAAAACAACAACGAGAGTGTGTGTAATGTGATGAGAATGCAAAAAGACATAAGAAGAATGATAAGGACAAGGTTAAATGTGGGTGGTGATGGGTGGGTCGTCATTGCTAACTCCTTAACGTGACATTTGCTGTACATGATCCATGGCTACTGTCAATCCCGTTAGCATTTTCAGGGAAATGTCCAAATCAGCGTATTCTGGATCAGCACGTTCGGTGTGTTTCATGAGGTCTATTTCCGGCATATTGGATGAGTAAAAGGAATGCCATGGAAAATGATGATGATGATCCTACATACCTTTGATCAAAAGACAATAACGAGGAACACGTTGGAAAGGAGCAATAAGGTAATCGGACATACCCATGCGATTCGTATCGCGACGTGCAAGCGATTCTTGTTCGATCTTGATAAAGAGGACATTGTTACACGCCCGACGAATGGCCTTGAGATTGGTTTGATAATGAACGGCATATTTTAGAAAAACGACCATGTCTTGCTCAAGCGTTTGAAAAATATGGCCCACGTGGATGGCATCACAATCTCTCCAAAGATGAGTTGCATGCGTCTCGAAACATGCCAGCAGTTTCTCTGACAAAGCAATCATCTCGGGCAAATGACGAAAAAGGACAGCCACGTCTGAGGACCTGACCAATGGATTGTGTGTGGCGGCCATCATTGGCTGCATGTACCTCTAAAATAAGCAAGCCGTAACGTGTTAGCAACGATGCTAGTGATGTGTGTGTTTTGAAGGTGCATATCGATGTGACATGTCGATGATGATGGTGATGATGATGGAAGGTCACGTTGATCTCCCTCTCCCCCCCCAAAGCACCAGCCAATGCAGCCACACAAATAGAAGACTTACGGTTTGAATAAGGGTCAAGAGACGATGATACGATTGTTCGGTAGTATACAACTCGTTCATGATGAATTTGCACAGGGCTAGATCCTTGGCGGTGCATGTGGGATAATCATAAAAGACGTAATCATCGTTCTATTGAAATGCATAGATCTTGTTAGCCACGTCTCCTTTTTTCCTGTAATAATATAGCGTATGATAAAAACCTCATCGGACTGCATCAGCAGCTGTGACACTGTGTTACGCCAAACGGAGATAGCTTTGACTTCTTTCTTTTGAATGCTTGGTGTCGACAACAAAAGGCTGCTTCTTCGAGAACGGCCCGAGTTGTTGTTGTTGTTGGTAGCAATACCAGAAGTACCAGAAATAAAAGCAAAGCTGCTAGCATTGGTAATAATGGAAGGAGAAGGAGGACCATTGCCAACAGCCGAAGCAGGCCTCGTCGTTGTTGACATTGGAGTAGTTGATTCGCCGATAATAACACTAGAGCGGATCATGTCACGCCATCGTGAAGGATACACTGAACTACTGGTTGATACGATAGGTGTTGGTGCACGTGGTGATGGTCCTGGCATTCCTTGTTCACAGGATGATGGTGGTAGTTTATCAACAATGGCTTTTTGAGCCAAACGTAGAAACTTGCTGCCGGGATTTGTATTTTCAGACACCGTGCGGATCGACGATGAAGATGAAGAGCGCGTGCTATTGCTTCTTGTACTGCATTGGTCTGATGTGTTGGATGTAAGCGTGGTTGTGGTAGATGCTCCTTGTGTTGCACGCCAACATCCGACATCCTCTGCATTATCATAGTCATCTTCATCTACTTTGGATAACCCCCAAAATTGTGACATGGGTCGACGCCTTCCCAATAATGAGGGCCGTGGTGTAGGCGATGCCGATAATGGGCTATTGCTACCACTACCACTACCAGTGCATATGGATGACATGTTGCTATGGATACTATTTCGATCACAGATCATTGAGATGCGTCGATTGGGCAGCATCTCTTTACGAGATGGTTTTTCTTTGATGGGTGATGATGATGGTGATTGAGGTTGTTTTTGTTGTCGGATGATCAAAGGTGAAGGGCGTGGTGGTGGAGGATTATTACGAGTGGCTGGTGATGGTGGTGGTGGTTTTTTATCGCTTTTGGATGTTCGTGATGATGATCGTTTACGAGAAACAGAAGCAATGAGCATAAGGCGCATGGATTGCAATCTGCCTGGCTTGTCGCCAGTAGGTGGTTTTGCGGATGAATAATTTTTTGTAGGGGCTGTAGCATTGCTGTTGGTGGATGAAATTGTGCTGCGTCTGGAAGAAGAAGGCAGGATCGAAGTTGATTTTGATGAAGAGATTGGAGAGGGAGGAGAAGTAAAGCGCTTCAGAAATGACTGACGACGCGATGATGATGAAGAAGCCTTTGATGCCAAGATGGATGAAGTTGAACAAGTGGTAGATGATGCCATATACTCATCTCTGGGCATGACAAAGATGATGAATGATGAATGGGGGAATAAAAAGGGGGGAAAAGAGAAAACAAGAGAGGGAAGAAAGATATCGGATCGCACGGCAAGGTGAAGAGCGAAAAAAAAGAAGTCGGGGTGCTTGGTTTGGGGGAGGAGGCGCTGCACAAAGGGTAAAAGTGAAGGAAAAAGGGGGGGTGAAGGAAATAGACTTAGCAATACAAGGCCGCTAACGGAGGAAAAAGGAAAAGGAGAGAGTGGCTGCACGTAGTTTATCAGTGTATAACTTGGAGTTTATGTGGTGGTACAGTAACCAGGCTTGACTTTGTGTCAAATTGAGAGCATATTTGACGCAAAAGCCGTGCAGATGCTTGCATCACCTGGGCGTTAGCACCGTTCTTGATCGGGACGATAATCCGAAAAACCCAAAAACAGCGTTTCCCAATGTACTACCATTCATCATCTTTTCATTGATAACTCATGTATAGAAGGGGTGATAAAAAACGGGAAAAGGGGAATGTAGAAGGGGTTGTGGCAAGGATAGTTCAATCACCATCATCATCATCACAAATATATACATTGATGTGTTTGTGTGTGGGGGAAAGCAGTGATTGATTGATGACTCAAACTGGTAATCCGCACAGACAACCTTTTCTTTCATCTAACATGATGAATGGGGGTTTAATAAGGAGCATTGAATAGCAGCATGAGTGTCATTGTTAACAAAAGCAGTTGGATTGATAATGATGATGTATGGTAATAATCTAAGTATTCAATCAAGAAATGAATAAAGGGGTTAAGGGTTGCTGCTGCTGCTGTTGCCATGCTTGTACACAAAGGCAAAAGCACCGACCGAAAAGGGAAAATGTTGACCTTTGTCCTTTCTTCTTCTCGTCACTCACATCCTCCTATCACATCCGCAACAACAACAACAACAGCCTCCTCTCTCTTCTCCTCCACCTCCCCTTCTTCACCATCATGTTGGAATCCATACCCGGTTGGGTCTTTATCACTGGCGTCTCGCTGCTCATTGCCACCATCGCTTATTCATCACAGCTATTCATTCTGTTGCCAGCCATGGAGTGGTGGTCACCCACTGCAGCCAAATTGCTTATTCCATTCAACTTGTTGGTGCTCATGGTTTACTACAACTACTATCTGGCATGCACAACGGATCCCGGTAAAGTTCCAAACGGTTGGGTAAATACCATTGACAGCAGCATCGCATTGTCTATTACATAATGAAGCTCATGGACTTTTTCCTTTCTCCAGGAACCACCCTATTCGACCTTTCAAAACGATGACAGCACACGGTGGCAACGTCAAGAGCTTCCTGCTACCGATACTGGTATGACAGGGCCACGCTATTGCAAGCAATGCAAGCACTACAAGCCTCCTCGCTCACATCATTGCCGCTATTGTCGACGTTGTGTACTCAAGATGGATCATCACTGCCCATGGATCGCCAATTGTGTGGGATATGACAATTATGGCCATTTTGTACGATTTGTGCTCTATGTGGATATTGCATGTGGCTATGCCTTGGGCTTGCTGGGTTGGCGTGTGTCGATGATTCTTGATGACATTCGTCATTTTCGGGTAAGGATTCGCAAAGGGAGGAAAAGGATTGATGAGGATGAGTCTTCTCATTGACATTGGTGATATAGTGGAATGCTGAACCCTCGACGATGGAAGTGGTGTTTCTCGTGATCAATTTTATCTTGGCATTCGTGGTCATTTTTTGCGTGGGCATCCTGAGCGTGTACCACTTGTATTGTATGTCTCGGAATCAATCTTCAGTTGAAAGCTGGGAACGTAGCAAGGTCAAGACACTCATTCGACGTGGTAAAATCATGCCCGTAAGTACTAATACAACCCATTTGTGATGTGAGATGAACTCAACTTTATGCATATTAGGTTCATTATCCATTTGATGTTGGCTTGTACCGCAATATCTGTTCAGTGCTCGGAAACAATCCATTGTTATGGCTTTGGCCACAAAATCCAACAAGCGATGGTTTGACATTTCCTGTACGACCTGGCACAGACCCTCGCCTTCCTTATTGTTGGCCACCACGCGATCCCGACGATCTACGTCCGTCCATATTTTCAAACCGCTACAAACGAAAGCAGCAACGTGAAATGATGCGTAACAACAATGCCAACCCCAATTCACATCGACTTGTAAGGCGTGATTCGGAAGGTTATCTTGTGCGTGAAATCACTATGGAAGAGAGGATGGCCATGTTGCAACCTGGTTACCAGGAACAAGATGAACAACTACAACAACAGCCTGAGTATGAAGGTGAACATCTTGAACGGCTCGATACATATCAAGATGAAGCGGATGAAGTGGATTCAGTGGAAGATTATTATGACTCTGGCAGCTGTATCAGTGAAGAAGAGGTGGAGTATACCCATTACTATGACGACCTTGAGCAACAACAACGACAACAATTGTATCCTGACACACGGTGGATGGAGAACAAAGTATATGATTTATCGGGTGGTGATTATTATGAAGACTCAGGATCATCATGGGATGAGGAAGACGACCGTGATCATCGACGACCCATGGTTTCTCGAAAGCATTACCCAGCACCTGTGGACGATGATAATATTGATGAAGAGGAGGAGGACAATGTACCATTGATGCCATATCCAAAGGAGAGATCACGGCCCTTACCGACAACACACAAGGTTGTGAAGGAAGATTGACTAGATGTAGTTGATAGTAATGATGTGTAGATCTATATTGTCTTATATTCCCCCAAACATGTAATTTGTCTTTTTACCAAAAACGCGGGATGAAATGTTGGATGATGGATGGCTTGAATCAGGGAGCGGGCTTAATTGGAGTTTGAAAAAAGTTTTCTTGCCAGTTAAAAGGTGTGGCTGGGCCAGCAAAAGCTGTTTTTCCTTCTCTTTTGCAGATAATAAGGAAGGTATGTATACCACCACTGATTGACATTCACGAGTACATGTGTGTATACTACAGTGCATACTTTACTCTACTCTATTCTATACACCTCTTGCTTACGTTTTCGCAATGTCGTATGTAGATTCTTACTCTGTAATAATCGAGTTATCTGAAAATGCAAATCTTTGTCAAGTCCCTCCAAGGCAACACTCTTGCCCTTGATGTCGCTGGCTCCTCCTCCGTTGGTGCCGTCAAGAACATGATCGCTGAACGCGAAGGCATCCCTGCCGACGCTCAGCTCTTGTCCTTCGCCGGCAAGAACCTCGTTGATGGCGAGCTCTCTGCCTACGGTGTTGCTGACATGAACACCCTTCACTTGAACGCTGAGTTGTTGGGTGGTGGTAAGAAGAAGAAGAAGAAAACCTACACCACTCCCAAGAAGATCAAGCACAAGCGCAAAAAGGTCAAACTCGCTATCTTGAAGTTCTACAAGGTTGACGAATCTGGCAAGATCACTCGTCTCCGCCGTGAGTGCCCCAACAACACCTGCGGTGCTGGTGTCTTCATGGCTTGGCACAAGGACCGTCAATACTGTGGCAAGTGCCATTTGACTTACGTCTTCAAGCAGGTAAATGTCAAATCATGGGATGTGTGGCTTGGATAGAGATGAATGGGAATCCTCATGTTTTATTTTTTACAAATAGGGTGAATCCGCTTAAGTATCAAGTCATTCATGGTCCGATAAAAAAGTTGATTGAATAAATCTTCTTCTTGTTCACAGCTTTTGTTCATCTACATTACATTTGTTTTATATGGATTGTTCTTTGGGAAGGGGCGTCATTGATAATTGGATGGGGGTATTTGTGTCATTCTTATTGCTGATGGTCGAACCATAGCTTAGTCCAATAGATGTCCTCATGTATACTAGCTTCTACGTTGTTGATCAACTTTGCATTAAAGTGTATCATCCATTTTGGACAAACAAAGATGTTTATTACATTACAGCTTGGAATTGATCAACTTTTCTTTCTTGGCATTTTGGTCATTGATGCGATTGGTAATATCAGCAGCTCTTCGCAACTCGATTTTTCCCAATTGATTCTTGTGGACTTCATCAGGGCCATCAGCATAGCGTAAAGTGCGAGCTCGAGAAAAGAATTTGGCCAACACAAAGTCTTGTGATAGACCACCAGCACCATGGGCTTGCATAGCACGATCCAATACACGTTGCAACATGCTAGGTGCAGCAATCTGTCAAGCATCACGTGAGCTCATTGTCATCCACCAATATCAACGTTGATGTTGTACATTACCTTTGCCATGCTGATTTCTTTCATAGCACCTTTTGGACCCCGTGGATGGTCATCAATCTTTTTGGCAGCTCCAAGTACGAGGTATCGCACTTGATCGATTTCAATGCGTGATGTGGCAATGTCTTGTACAATCGTTCCATGCTCAGCCAAGCTCTTTCCAAAGGTGCGTCGTGATGGATCGGTGACACGTGCAATCATGATTTCCAAGGCACGTTCGCCCATTCCAATACAGCGCATGCTATAGCATACATGTATCAGCTTGATGACCACTGTTTCTCTTTACTGCTTTTACATACCAATGATGAATACGACCAGGTCCCAAACGTCCTTGGATGACTTCGAATCCACGACCTTCACCCAAGACGATGTTTTCAAGAGGCACGCGTACATTATCAAAAACGATCTCACAATGACCACTGGGAGCATCATCATAGCCAAACACCTGCATTGGTCTTACTACAGTGATACCAGGTGTATCAGCTGGCACAATCACAAGGCTTTGTTGTCGATGTCGGTTTGTGTTTTTGGGATCGGATTTGCCCATAACAAGAAATACAGCACAACGAGGATCACCAGCACCTGTAATCCACCATTTTCGACCATTGATGACATATTCATTTCCTTCGCGACGGATGTTGGTTTCGATATTGGTAGCATCGGATGATGCAATGGCAGGCTCGGTCATGGCAAAAGCTGAACGAATCTTGCCATCCATCAAAGGAACAAGCCATTTGGCCTTTTGAGCAGGCGTACCATACTTTGCAAACACTTCCATGTTTCCCGTGTCAGGTGAGCTGCAATTCATGGCTTCAGGTGCAATCTTGTAGCTGCGTCCCGTAAGCTCGGCTATTAATGCATATTCGAGATTGGTCAAACCAGGACTTAATTCCTTGTATTCTCGGCCAAGAAAAAGATTCCACAATCCCAGTGAGCGTGCCTTGGCCTTAAGCTCTTCCATGATAGGAGGAACCACCTATGTATGTATGTTTCCTTGTTAAAGGTGCTCTTCTCTTTAACATTACTATGTACACAGTCATTTACCTTCCAACGATCCTTGCCTTGACCCATTTGTGCCTCATACACTTTTTCGGCAGGAATACAATCATTCTATGTATACACATCATGTTGGTCAATAAACAATGATCAAAGAAAATCGTTGATCTCTCACATGTGGGCACGTGCCAAGCACGTCCACACACACACATATGCACAACTCACCTCTACAAAGTCCTTGGCCTTGGCATACAAGTCCTGAAACAGGGGTGATAAACTTTTAATATCAACAAGGTTGTTGGTTGCCATGGATACTCTATGCGTGTGAAGGAGAAAAAAGACAAGTGTATCGTGTGGGGAGGGGGATTTCGCTTAAAGTTGCCTATATTACTTTGGGGTGCCGACCGCGAAAAAGATCCCACAGCTATTTGCGCTTAGCAAATTCGGCTCGTTCACTAACCAATCAAAATGATGGTGTCCCTGAGTTACTACCCTTCTTTTTTGCCACATCGACGTTCGTTGTTTCTGGTGTCCCATCTGTGCGCACATACATCTCAGCTTTTTGGATTGTATAATCAAAGTCAGTTTATTGCTATGGATGGCATGGTGTATACAATGAAATGGATCTATTTAAAGAAGGGTGTATGTGTTGCTAATGGGAGATTTCTTAACACGGTCGTTGTTGTTTAGCACCATATGAGTTGATTTGGGATGCATAATCAAATGCGGAACAAAGAAAGGAAAAAATAGATCATGTGCCACCAGCTGTCAAATTCATCATCATGAAGATGCCTCATTACATTGCTGGGTGTGTCTTTGTGGAGAGCACAACAACAGTAACCTATTACATTCCTCGTGCTAGTAGGTAGTAATAATACCATTTCCTTGTTGCTCATCCTTTTATCCCATACTCATGTACATCATGCATAATCCCTGCTAGTTTGTTCCTATGCGATAGCAGTAGTAAAGCAGTTATGGTGTCGGGATTGACCTGGTTTGCCCCCTTGCCCTTTTGCACCGCCGGCATTGTATGCAAAAGAAAGAGTAATGTTATTCTTGGATGGTTTAGGAGGAAAAATTAGCAAACATCTAAGGATACAAAGGGAATGCAATGGTTGCAGGAATGTTTTTGCCCAATTAGTAGAGTAGCGGCTTTCCAAACAAGGTCGTTTTCTTTTCCGAATTACATGTAATGTGTGTGTGGGAGAACAACAACAAGGTATGATCCAAGCTATATAAACCTACCCATTATGGGAGGGGCATGGCGGTGGTCAATTGCATCATTGTGCGTGTGTATAATAATAAGAGAGAAGCCAGCTTTTGGAGACTGGGGCATATCATTCATCAGGTCCCTTGACCATGGATTTCCCCCAGATCCCCCTTTGATCAGGGTATATTGCATATTATCGGCCCGTGAAGAGTATGTATGTAATGACACGTGGCAAGTAAACGTGGCATACTAAATTCAAGTGGGATCATTGTAGTCATATTCTTTTGTGTACCAGGAATCAACAATGCATGTCGCCTGTCATTAGTAGTAGTTGTAATACTATTGAAGGCCGCACATGAGCTATGAGGCTACTCATTTTGTCAATGCATCACATGGGATAAAAGAGCAGAAAAGCGCGTTTGGTTCTATTTGCCAATTGCATGTATATACTGACGAAACAAGGGGTAGGGTAGTTACCCAGGAGATAGTATACGGAGAAATGGGGATACATCCTTTTTACAAAGGATGCAAAAGGACAGGGCAAAAAAAAAGTGAGAGAGGCGGCGAAACGTTGCCATGATGATGAGAACACAAGAATAATGCAGTGCAACCTAACCCAATAACTCTATGTTTTGCGCTTGGATAAATGCAGGAGCCACGTTCCTTTTACTTTGCAAATCAAAAAAGCAACAAACAATTTGGATATGGAGAGCAAATGTAACAAAACAGGTTTAGGGTGATCAACGCCCTTTGTTGTGCGTATACATGTGAGTGTGAGTGTAATTGTGTGAGTTTGGGTTGGGTTTGCGTGCAAATACACGTTCTTCTATGTTTTGCTATTCTAATAATGGTGACGATGATGATGATGGGTGCAAAGAGAGCAAGTATGTACTAAATATCAAGGTGTCATTGAGGGAGCATCTGGTAGGTTGGCAACGACTGCATTTCGACGACGAAGGGTGTAAACAGGGAGATCAATGGTGTCACCATCAAAGAGTGTCAAGGTAGCTGTAGCATTGGGGCTGCGTTGAAGCCATTCATTGATACTTGTAGTAGGGACGTAATCGGTTGCAGATGCGATAACGGTGCCATCATGATCAAGGATGCAATATCGGTCGACTGTGGAGGAGCAGCATGTTAATTCTTGGTGGTGGTGAGCAGATTCAGTAGTACACGACATGATGGATGAAAGAAGAAAAAAAAAAGAAAGAGTGAGAAAGATAAAAGATCCAGAGTAATGCAAAAGCATTAACTTTATAGTATCCAAATTTTGATTCGTTTATGGTGTGTGGGTTAAAAAGGAAATATCAACAGGCAACATTATATACAAGGCTGATGGGGAATTTGAGAAGGTTGCATTATTCTTGTTGTAGAGATTCAAGGAACGGTTTTGCATCTGGATCTTGCTCCCATGTTCGTGACTTGAACAACTTATCGATCTGTGCACGTAGTTCCACCATGCTTGTTGGGATACAGAAGGCTTTTGATAATATTGAAAGTGATACGTCTTTGCGTGGATAATAGCGGTGATGATTGTGGCTGTTTTCTTCGAGATCAAATATCTTAAACGTCATGCTGGAGTATGCGAATCGAAATTGTCGAACCACTGAAAAGGCATTGTATGACTTCATACCAAGGTCATTGTCATGGTTCATAGGGTCACGGATGGTAAATAGCGGTCGACCTTGTCGGCTAAGAATATTCCTCTGCAATGCACATAAATCAGTAATCCCATTGAATCACCATCACGTAACGCTCAATCACGCCATCTTACCTTTTCAAAGTATTGTCCTTTTCCTTTCACACATATACCAACGTCTTCCAAATTGAACAATAAACCATACAGCTGGAAGAATTCAATCAATAGCGTGGATAGGTTCTTGAGTGGATCGATTTGACCCGTGGATATCTTGGGATGCATCTACAACGGGGTAAGAATGAGTTCATGCAATCAATACATAGGTATGACGCCAATGTGCTCACCTGCAAGAAGCTCATCACCATACAAACAATGGCATAACCTCCCATTCCACCAGAAAATACTTCATTGAGCCCCTTCAGCATGAGGTAATGCTTGATCAACAATGTCAACGGCCTTAGCCCTGGTTGCTTGCGCATCATTGACGTGATACATTCGGCAGCCTTTATGCCTGAATCAGAGTTTGTGATGATATCCACCTTGATCCTGGTAAGGGAATCTTCAAATTTGATGACCGGCACCTAGGTAAACAAGATGTCATGATTACATATTCACCATTAGCCTTGCCACTCCCCCAAAGTATGACGCGTTCTCACACACACAAACATACCTGTGCATGTAAAATCATCTGCATATTGTCCGCAATCCCTGCTCTCTCTAATCGCCTGGCAATGAGTCTCAAGTTCACACCTGATCCTTGGACCACCATGTCAATATCGCTAAAGAGGGAATGAATCAGCATCATCATCAACCTTGGAAAAGTAAAAGATCTTACCTATTTGGCAAATACATGTCTGTGGCAAAGCTTCCAAATACTTCCACCTCTGATCCAGGAAATGCTGATTCGATTGTCTCTTTGATGCGGTATACAAGGAAATCACGCAAAAGCTTTTCACCCTTGGTAGGTTCCAAGTAGCGCACAATGCTTTGCACCTCTTGATCAAACCTAAAGTAACACGCATCATCAGGGACATGCTGTGATTCTTGTACCACCTTCATATACTTACAGCTTATCGACATTTAGAGGTCCAGGTACGGTATCTGGCATCCATTCCAACCATGGGAAAGCACCAATTCCATCATCATCTTCGCTATCCGAATCATAGGCACGCTTGCGTTTGCGGTTCTCCTTCATACGTTCTCGCTCCTTTCGACGTTTGGCTTGTCGAGAATCGTTCTTCTTGCTATCGTCGTCGTCACCCACACTGAGAGAGATAAAGTCATCCCCGTCTACCATATTCAATCAATATCAACGTGGCTATTGTTCTTTTATGATAACGAGACGAGATCTTACTTGCGATGGCTTGATCATCGGTGCGATCGACGGCACCAGGTGAACTTTGGCGACTATCACGATTGCTGTTGCTGCCTTCTCCTCCACTCATGAGGTCGTTGCGATCGGTTGCTGATTCCCATCCTGGTGAGCCTGCTGAATTCCTCTGTGCTCTTGTCTTTTGTTTCTTTCTACTTTTCCTGCCCATGCTGGATCGATGCAAAGAGGAGTTTGCCACTTCGTCTCTTGCACCCAATGTTTTTATTAAAGCCCAGATGCCGCCACTCCTCGCCCTCATCACTCATGCCGTGCCCTTCATATGACAAGAGATGTATTACAGGATCCTCAATCAGTATATAGATAATAGCATTTGTATAAGAGTCCTCATCTTTTCTTTATTTTCCCTGCAACAAGCATGTTTCAATACGTCGCGTTAATTAAATGCTATAGCTTTTATTATGCCACTCCTCTTTTATCCTCTATATAGCTATGTATCTTCCACACTGTAATACAAGATCATGGAAACATAATACACATGTCAAGCATTGCATGTGTGGCTGGGGTCCTATAATACAAAGGATAGGTGTACTTGATCTCCCTTGGGTTGGATGTATCGCCTGTTTCGAAGCCGAGGGGGTTTATTCTCACGCACGCATGTGTATATTGATTGGATATTATGTAGAACTTATTTGAAGATGAAAGAGAAAGGATATTGGTCATATAAGATTAGATGGTATTCTATGAGCTCTCCAATCATCGACTACTTTCGAGAATGCTTATAAGTATTCCATATGGTAATGGGTATGCATGAGAGGCCCTAAGACACTACTGCATCATCCACTAAAGAGCTTAAGTATGTGATAGTAAAGGTAATACTTTATTGGTAAGGAAGATGTAAGGCTACAACGACGACTAATATTTACATGGGGGAGAAGAACGGGCAAGCCCAAAATGAACTTCCCAGCTTTAAAGGCGGAGTGGGCTTGAAACAAGCTCGCTTTTCTTTCGTTTCCACATGGCACAAATCATTCTAGGTCCCCACAATGGCGTCAGAATAAACGGCACTCGACCTCGAAGACCCAAGACTCGACGAATCAAACCACCCAATGACAGCCAAGAACAGTCGCTTCAACCTGAACAAGCTATTCAGTCTTCTTCTTCTTCAGAATCCAGTGTGGTAGCATCGCCGTCGCCGCCTTCCCCGCCATTGCCAGCATGGACTCAAGATGTTCAACTTTTGCAACCATCGTCACCGTATTTGCCGCAGATACTCGACCTTATCAATACCAATCAGTGGCATGTCGAGATACAACCCGATAATACCATTTCCATCAACTTGGATAGCGTCCACGACTTGAGAGACTTTTTGCAGACACTCGGCGAACTTGCATTTCAGTCGACTTTGGACTCTTCACCCGATCTCAGTCATCATGAGAATACATCGAGAGGAAGTGCCATGGTACGACGACGACGAGTATTGCATCCTTACATCAAGTATCATAGTGAATTGTATGCCGAGACAATATGGCCTTCCATCACTTGTCCCTCTTCTTCGGGTACCAACAGCGACAATGGCATGGATGAGGATCAGCAACAACAACAGCAGCAACAACAAAACAACATACGTATCGAATGGCCAACATTTTATTCGACCTTGTCTACCATCATTGATGATTGTATCCATTACTTTGTTGAATGCATGAACCATTATTATCCTGTGCGACCACGAAGGGTAATACACGCATGGTACAACAATTTGGAGAACCCTCAAGAAGATGTATTCGCCTTAGCCATTGGAACCTTTTGGTGTCGCCATTTGCTGATACACCATCGACCTGCCAGCATTACTCAAGAGCAAGATAGTAAGATTCTGGATATGATACAGCATCGTCTTGCGCACATGACTCGGGATGCCCTTGGAGATTACTTTGATGAACCCAACATTGATCGCATCTTCGCCTTGTGTTTATGCAACATGACAACAGTATTCTCAATGGAGCAAAAGGCGACATTTCATACATTGGCAGTGCGCATGGCTACAGCATTGGATATTCGACCTCGTACAAGAGATGATGATGATGATGATGCTCGTGCGGGTGATACGATAGAGTTGGAGAATCGGTTATGGTGGTATCTCTTTCAGATTGATCATTTCCTACATGAATCAGGTGCCATTCCAAAGTCGATGCTCAGTCCCAATTCAGATGATCATGATGCATTATCACGCTTGGTACGACCTACTCCTTGCTCGCTGGACGAGCCTGATGAAGTTGCTGGTGCCTTGGAATGGGGTCACGTGCTTGAATTGTGGATCATTCGTCGTCGTATTGTTCGAGAAATCGAGACTACTTTGGATCGTGGAGACTTGCTCACCGAACACATGTATGACAATGTCAAGGCGACACTCTATGATTGGAAAGCACGTATACCAGAAATGATCAAGAGCGTGGATGGTACGTCACCTTCAACCCTATCTTGTCATGGCAACAACAACAACAACAGCAGCAGCAGCAATGGATCCCTATCCATGACAGCTCTCGAAGAATCAAGGCTAGCAGCAAGCATGGAATTCTGCACCAATACATGTTTGATATTACACCACTTTTGTCCACATCAAGATGCAGCCATCATATCTCCCTTGGAACGACAAGCCATTTTGGACATGATTGAATATTCAACAGAGATGCTACGACTACGACGAGCTGTGTTGTCATTTGCACCTTGTCAAACGTGGCCTGGTGACTTGAAACGATCGATTGAGATTTTGATGTATTGCACAGAGTATGGGGATGATTTGATCACGGGTCGAGCCAAACATGGTCTCAATCATGCACGACATGTCTTACGCAAGATGGCCGAAGTCAAGTGGAAAGATCCAATTTGTATGGTGCTGATCAATGATATTGAACACGTTCTTTATGCATCACCTTCCTCTCAAGTCAACAACAACAACAACAACGTTATGCATGAACAACATCAACATCAACATCACCAGCAGCCACAGCAACCATCAAGGACAACCCAAAGAGCAGAAGAGGATAAAAGTCATCGTCGACGCAGCATCAAAATGGCCAACAATATGTACACAGGTGTGATGATGTTTGATAGAGAACTACAACCTCGAGCACAATATTATCGTCCTGCCAACACGTCCGACCCATTGGATAGCGTCACGGTGTTTGAAGATGTATCACGTTATATGAACTAAGCAGGACACAAACGAAACTATACCCCACCCCCACCCCCCCAATCCTCATTCAACCATCCCAAATCCTGATTTTTCCCGCTGCATAGTACACCCAACATCATCCCCTTACTTCCTCTCTTGTCCATCTTTTTGTTTTATATAGTTTTCACATACATGTTGTATATTTCTCTAATAACAATCCACTCATTCTCACACACATTCATGGACCTGAAACATAAAGAACGGGGTAAAATGCAAGCAAGACTATGGGGGGCAGCGGAAAGTTTTTGAGCTGAATGGGAAAAAAAGGGGGTGTCCTTCCGGGGGTGGCGATCTTGATGACCAAATATGGCAGTGTAAAGGAAAAAGCGACGAGCCTAAATGCTGGGTGTGGTGGCTTGATCAAATAAGAATGGAACGGCAATGTGGAGAGTTCTGAGTTTCACCTAACTTCCTTTTCCTGCAAGCAACTTCCCCGTAAGTCAAATTACCGTTCCAGGCTATGCCCGCTTGCTTGCCGACTCCCTCCATTTCACTATATAAACCACTTTTCCCCCACCCCCACATAGCCATTACTTGTTTATTTCCATTCTCTCTCTCACACACACGCACACACTTTTTATACAACAATGGCTCCATCTACGACAATGAAGGTTGCAAGCTGGGAAACTACCGGTACCATTTCCACTGTTGACAAGCAAATCCCAGAACTCAAGCCTGGTTACATTCTTGTACGAGTCACCGCTTCTGGTATTTGTGGTAAGTCTCAACTTTTTGTTGTTGTCATGGAGACCCCCATCTTTATAACATGGGATGATGATAATGATAGGCACGGATTTGCATATTTGCAAGGGTGAGACCCCACATGCCACGCACAAAGTGACTATTGGACACGAGAATGCAGGCTTTGTGGAGCAAATCCATCCTGACACGGTGACCACTGTCAAGCAAGGCGACTTGGTAGCCATTGATCCCAACATTCCTTGCCACGCTTGCACTTTTTGCCGCAACAAGAAATACCACTTGTGCCCCAAGCTTATTTGTTTGGGCGTCTCCGTCAATGGTGGTATGGCAAAGTACATGGCTGCACCTGCTGAAGCTGTTTTCCCCGTTCCTCAATCGGTGGGTCCTGTGACAGCAAGTTTGGCTGAACCCTTGTCGTGTGTGATCCATGCTGTGGATACTGGTAGCATCAAAACGGGCGATCAAGTGCTTGTGATGGGTGCTGGTCCTATTGGTTTGATGACGCTTGGTCTTGCAAGTCTTGCTGGTGGTCGTGTCACTGTGGTCGAACCTAGCAAAATGCGTCGTGAAAAGGCCTTGGCTTTTGGTGCTGCTGAAGTATTGGATCCTGAAGAGCTCAAGTTGGGTGATCCTTGCATGGGTGATGGCTTTGATGTGGTATTTGAATGTGTGGGTCGTCCTCAAACTATGGAGCTTGCTGTCAATTGTGCAAAGGCTGGAGGTACCGTTGTGTGGGTTGGTGTTGCCAAACCCGATGTCACCATCCCTGTTTCACCTTTCAACGTATACCGCCGCGAGCTCACCATCAAATCCACTTACACCAATCCTTATGGTATGGAGCGTGCTATCAAGGTCCTTGCCGAAAACAAGCTTGATTGGGGAAGCCTCATCACTCATTCCTTCACTTTGGATCAATTTGAGGAAGCATGGAAGGTGTTTTTGGATGGCTCAGGTCTCAAGGTCTGTGTTCGACCCAACGAACAGTAAATTCCCTCCAACATCATTTTTACCACACACAAGCACACGCAATATATATACAACAACAACACGCATCATACACAATACGTATATATAGTAGACAATATTGTATCCCTCATCATACCATTCCTCCTCTTCCACATGTATAAAACAACATTTTTACTTGTTTCATTTACTTGGGGTAATAATACTAAAGTGGTTGTGGGCGCTGAGCTGGGTGAATACAACTCCACATTGCAGCTTGTCATTGGCAGCTCCTCGCATAGATTTCATTCTCTTTCTTCTTCACTCTTTCCTCCTTACACAATCCATCATCATCTTATGCATCTACTCGCCCTTTTGGTTTCTATCACCTGTTTATTAAGCCTTGTTCTAGCAGGTCCTGGAACTCACCGTTATGAGCAACCTGGACACTCTAACTATGGCGACGACAAAACCAACCAACAGTAAGTGTGGAACAGGTCCCAGTTGACAATCCCCATGGCTAAGATGGATTACAGACACATTATGGAACACATCAAGTCCATGGCAAAAGACGGCCAAGATCCACAGGCCAAGTTGACTGAAAACGAGCTCGTGTACTATTTATTCGTGCTGCATGACACCAACAATGACGGACACCTCGATGGCCATGAGTTACGTGCAGCCTTCACAGACTTTGATGAGGATGAGGAAGACGACCCAACTCGCTATGTGGCATTGGATGAGATTACTGCTATGGTGGATCATGTGTTGGAAGAGGACGATCTTAATGGAGAGTAAGTAAGCAGAGGATTGGTTCTACATATGATCATGGATACTCATCTCCAGGCAACAGTGGTAGAATTTCATGGGAGGAGTATTTACAAAGTCAATTGTATCATGGCAACGGTGGTCAATAAGAAGTTTGGAAAATGATGAATCAATCTTTATGTATATGTGAGTGTGTATGGTATGGTGGTAGATACATTTTTCTTTTGGATGAGATGGGATGGGAGAGAGCGACCTGCGCATATGGGAGAAAATGCAATGCGAATAGTTTTATGCGTGTAAATGAGAGAAGAGAGAGATTATGACATGAGATTGTTATCTTCTGGGAGTGGTAATGCACCTTCCAAGCCGAGCATGACATTATACAAGATCGTCACCCATGCGTCTAAGGGTCCTGGAATACAATAGCGCAAACAATCTTGGCCACCAATATGACCATCCGGTCTCAAATTAGCCAATGCACCAAGATCAATAAACAATCCGCCTGCTGCTTCCACAATGGTACGTGCAATGGCATTCCTACGATCATATTCACTCCATCCATAAGGTAGCTGGCGTTGCTGCTCATCATCCAAGGGTTGTTCAAGTGGGCCATCAGCATCGTCACAATGGGGATGACCAATAGCCGAGGATCGGTAGATGATAAGTGCACGTGGTTTGCTCTTTCGTAATGATGCAAGCGTTTGTGTCAATTGACGAGCAAAGTTGGTATCATCCTCGACCACCGGGCTGCGATTCAAGATGAAAATGTCGTATTCACGTAAAATAAAGTTCGCCATAAAAGGCCATTCGACTATATCCATCGATGGGTGTCCATACTGCTTGTCCACTTTGCGTGCAATCGATACCACGTCATTGCGGAAATAGCGTAAATAACTTGCTTTGGGTTCATTGCATATCGTATGTTCTAAAAAAAGGTCCCATCAGTCTCTCTTTCTCACTTCCTCCTTCCTCGTGTATTATACCTTTGCAATTCAATTCACCATAACATACGACAGGTCCATCACGTAATGCATCAAGTAATATTTCATGCATTTGATATTGAGCAAGATCACCGACAAGCATGAGATTGCGGCCTTTTAGAGCACCACCGCACCATTGTTGTGGATCAACGGTTGTCATTGGTAACGGACATGAAGGTTCCCACGTGTATTTGACAGCTTCACGTTGCTCATTTTTGCCATGTGTCTTGTAAAACTTGGCATCACAACTGCCATACAACGGATCTTGGAAATGACGTAGTAACGGTGCACGATTGCTGCTCTTTACCCATCGTCCACGAGTCCAACAATTCACCAACGATCGCATAGCATCCACTTGATCTTGAGTATCCAGAATTGTACCAGGGATACGACCATCATACTTGTTGCCAAATGCCTCTTGTGCCATGGATTGTGCTATGCCCACCATCCGTTCCTGCAATGCTCGTCGTTCCTCAGTCGTCAAGTGCTCAGTGGTAAATGCATGATCTGGATCAAACGCTGCTTTGCTGATAGCCTTATAGGATTGCTTATACCAAGGTAACCGATGTTGTTGTTGACTAGGTGCCGTCGTAGCCGAGGATTCATTGTCGAAAGAAGATTGCTCAAAGATGGATATACGATTGGGTGGAGGAGCACCTGTCATGACGCTGTAGATTTGATAGGCGATGACCAACAAGACAGCCAACAAGAGTAGCCGTAATACAGGACCTCGAGCTGGAATCATGGCGTGGTGTCGGCGTCGATGGAGAAAAGAGATGAGGTAGACGTAAAGAGGAAGAAACGAAGGAGGGAAAAAGATTGACAAGATAGTATGTAGCGGCGTTCGGATTGTGCACACTGCTGGCTGGCAACACACATGATGGCAACACAAGCGATGTGGACACAGCAACCCTTTGCGTAACATCATCTTTAATTAACACAACATCAGCCTTATCGACAAGTGGAAATAAACAGAAAAAGAAAATGGCAACTTTATACAAGGTCGATTGAGGGGAAAGAAGAAGAAAGAAAAAAGGAATTAGAAGTCGAGTTAAATAAACAAGGATTAAAAGTCGGGGAACTTGTCTCTGTAGGGATCCTCGCATGGTTGTCCATAACGCTCGGTTTGTTCGGGGTACTTGTCGAAATGGCTAGCATCACCATCACCACGAATGTGTGGAATGTAAGGTGCTCGAATTTGACGATTGCCCACACGATCAAAATCAACCCCATCAAACCATGGATGACATTTGATATCCTCGGCTCCATTCTTGAGATTACCATAACGTCTTGAAAGATCAGATGTCAGTAGTCGTTTTAGCAAATCTTTAGCATTGGGATCGAAATAACTAGGCCATCGGATTTTGCCTTGAAGGATCTTTTCGTACAATTTGAGATGATCTTCATCAAAGAAGGGTGGATATCTATAGTCTCCTATGATTAGTTTATGATACACACACTCGCTCATTGATAGCTTACCCTGCCAACATTTCGAATACAAGCACACCCAAACTCCACCAATCCACGGCTTTGCCATAACCCTTTGACTGAATTACCTCGGGAGCTAAATAAACGCATGTATGAGCATATGAAAAGCCAACATCACTCCTTTCACTACCACTTACCAAGATAGTCGGGGGTACCACACAGGGTCCAAGTGACATCAGGGACATATTTGGCAAAGCCAAAATCGGTAATGCGAATGTGGCCATTGCTGTCCAACAACAAGTTCTCGGGCTTTAAGTCTCGATATACAATATCTTTGGCATGCAAATACTCGAGTGCGAGCACCACTTCGGCCGCGTAAAACTTGGCAACGTGGTCTGGGAAACGCTATTATAGATTCCTCCGCCCAATGAGTATCCTCCGTCCACCACCATGTGCCCTATTATCATTGTAATACCTTGCTTTTTCGCAGTACGCTAAAGAGCTCTCCTCCCGGCACGTAATCCATCACCATGTACAAGTTGGCATCATCTTGAAACGTGCCCCATAAATTCACAAGGAAAGGATTGGCCACTGCTTCCAAAATGTGCTTTTCATTGTTGGTGTGCTCAACTAGTATTATAAATCATAATGAATATGGCGGCGTATAAATATGCATATTACACCATCTCACCTTGTTTTAATCGCACCACCTCGGTCTTTTTCAATACCTTGATGGCATAGTATCGTGCATTGTGTCTTGATTGAGAAAGGTGGACACGACCAAATGAACCCGTACCGAGGGTACGTAGCAAATGAAAGTCATCAAGTTTCAAACGAGGTCGATTTTTGCGTTGTTCGAGAATGTGTTGATCGTATTGCTGATATCGTTGTCGCATGGCTGCCCGCTGTTGCTGGGCTGTATAGATGGATGGAGGATGTAATGCAAGTGAGCAAGGTGAAAAGAAGAGAGAGAGAAAGGTGAATGAAGAGGAAAGAGAAAGAAGAAAGAGAAAGATAAGTATGCGTGTCGGTGTGGCTGTTGCTCAACATCAACGAAATACCTTTTAGTTGCATCAGCTTTTGTACGTCAGCGTGGTCTATTTGAAAAGGTAGGTTAAAACGTGCATGCGATAGAAAAGAAAAAGAGGAGAAAGACACCAGCAAGAGAGAGCGAGAGAGCGAGAGGAGAGAGAATACGAGCTTGAGTCCAACTCAGAAAGAAAAAAAAGTTTGCCCCATCGACTGACAGGGCCTATGTATGTGTGCATACATAACCATCCCCCAACATGCATCAAGTGTGGCGCCATGCAAAAAGATGTATATGCGCACTACCACATGAACACGCGTCTTTCCCTTTCTCATCCACGCATTCACTCATATTCTCGTCTCTTTTTAGATAAAATGATCAAGATTGACTTACCAGCATTGGTAGAATCCACATCCATTTCGTTTGCATTATTAGTTTGTGTCGAAGGTTTGTCAACGGATGCTCGTGGTGTTACATAACCAGCCGCTGCTGTGTTATTGTTTGAAGGTGTCATTGTTGCGTTTGTTGAAGTGGCTGCCTTATTTTGTTGTTGTTGTTGTTGTTGATTGTGTGGTTCAGCCGACGATGTAGATGAATGGGGTGTGTGTATGCCGAGCTTTGTATCTTCACCGCCTTTGCTCGTGTCGGTGGTGTTATCATTGTTGGCAGCAGCAGCGGCAGGGAGCGAGGTGTCGGATTGGTGATGATGATGATGGTGAAGGTGTGCCCCGTGCTTTGCCTTGTCAATAATCTTGTTAAAAAAAGACATGCAGGAAGAGAGAAAAAGCAAAGATCATAACATGGGGTTTTTGGCAGTCGAAAGAAAATGAACCCAAAAAAAGAGCCGAGACTGCCTTTGCGGGGTTGTTGCAGCGGTCCATAGCCGGGATGCTACACATATCGCATATCTCTCTTTCAACCTTGTCTTTGATTATTCCGAAGAAATGGGCTTCTTGTCAGGTAGACCATCCGTAAATAGGAAGCTTTCATTGCAAAAAAAGTCATCGTCGTGATATGCATGGCGACATGTGTGGTACAATCCACAACGCAGTGACCATTTTCATGTGCTTTTATGATAATTAATCCAGCCGTCGGACATCGGCATTTCTTATGCGATCATATGTCGTCGTCCACAACAGCCCAGTTGGCGTGGATACAAAATCTTGTGCTATATTGCATGGTATTTTTCCTGCAGCATGACAGGTTTCAGTTGGCGGGATTGTCTTCTTTGGCTGGGGTATTCCATATATAGCAACCATGACACGGCTGCTGCTTCAAGCGTTCAACATACAAAAAATCGAATGACTGAAACCATTACTATTATGTAAACCAGCGGGCATACAGCATAGCAACGTCACTCATATTAGGTAACCATGGAGATTGCATATCCATGTAGGTCATGTGACATTGGCAGGGTGCTTTTTGTGTTTTCTAGAACACGTCCATTCCTACACAAGGCTTTTTTTCACATGATTCAACGCGTATTAGAAAACGCCCACATCCACATGAATCGCTATCTTTTATCGTGTATGTGTTGGGGGAAACGTTGATGCCTTTAAAAAGACACATGGATACCGTAAAACCAATACATGTGAATACGTATTGTATCGTTTATACAAAAGGAAAAGGTGTGACCTAGATGCGTGTAATCCATGACATGAATGATCATTTTACTTTTGACATTATACACATGTGGCGTCGTGGGATGATCAATCCCCTTCTTTTTATATATGTATCTTAATACAAGGGGTTGAGATGGGAAGAGAAAAAGAGGAGGAGGAGCAAGTTGGATGAGTGATGGTGGTGGTAGTGGACGAAAGCGGGTATATACAATGGAGCAAGTCTCTTTTGCAATAAATTAATAGTAAGGAGGAATGTGGGATGTGGATGGATGTGTGTGTGTGAACATGCAAATGAAAAGATGGTATAATGTTGTGGAGGTAGCCTTATTGATGACGTTTTGCAGCGACTGCAGCTGCCACATTTTGATGTTGCTGATGTCGACGACGTTCCTTTTCAGCAACAACACCTGGTGGTTCAGATGTAATGACGACGATGTTACTGCGTTCTTGTACAGCTTCAGCGGTGGTTTCTTGGACATGATGAACATGATGATTGCCAGGAGTCTCATGAGTACAAACATCAATGTTGGCTACCCATGGATCGGCCAAAATAGATGATAACGTTGGCCGGCGATTGGGGTCGAGATCTAGCATGCTAGCCATGATGGGACGTGATTCACGAGGCAAATGCTTGAGGATGCGGTATTGTTGATGTGAGGAGTTGGTGGCAAAGGCACGGAATGCACGGTCGGAAAGCCTTGGCACTCGCCACGGGAAGCAGCGAATTGTCATGCAAATGAAAATGATGGCGCATGACCATACATCTCCTGCAGCAGGTGAATAGGTAGGTTGTGTGTATTGTTCTGGAGCAATGTAAGGTTCAGATCCATAGATGCCTATACACAACAACAACGAGGTTAGATCATTGAAATGGGATGAGGATGTTGTATATGGTTATTATGTACCTTTGCTCATGACAATGTTCTTCTCAAATGGATACTTGAAAACACAAGAGCAGCCAAAGTCGATGATCTTGACAATGCCACGATGATCCAAAACAAGGTTGTCAAGCTTGAGATCACGATGAGCAATACCCATGCCATGTAAGTAGTCGACGCCATTCAAAAGCTGGCGCCAGCAGCATGCGATTTCTTCACGAGACATCATGCCGCTCATGACAACATTGAACAAATCATTGGGGCAAAACTCCATGATTTCATAAAAGGTGGAATCGTTCTCTTGGATGATATCCAATGTTTGGATCACATTGGGATGATGAAGAGTGGACCCAATACAGAATTCGGCGGTCACTTTTTTGATGTAATCCTTTTCTGTCTCATGGGGTAGACGCTTTCGGAACTGCTTGACGGCAACAGGTTTGCTGTCGTTGGATCGGTGAATGAGTCGTACAGAGCCACCAGCGCCCTTACCAATATAGCGACCTGCAGCAGGGAGAAAAAAAGTTCAAGTTAGGAAAAAAAATGCCTCAAAATGACGCGTGCGCACATTTCTTGTGTGCACATGCTGCTTGCTCTCTCTCCTTTGAGCAATTTTTATGTTTTTGAATCCAACACGTACCCCATTTGCCATAGCGTCCTTCAATGTCATGGTGGAATTGATTGGCAAACGTGTCGCTTTCGTTGCTGCCGCTGCTGCTGCTACTACTACTGCTGCTGCAGGATAATGAACCATTGCCTGTTACAGTAACATCGGATACAAAGAAACGGCGTAGATCGGACCATCCAAGAAATGATCCATCCTTGCTTGATATCAATGGTGAAGTTGCATCATCACCATTACACATGGGTCGATGAAAATGGGTACGTTGATATTGTTGATTGTATTCAGGCTTCTTGAAAATGAATTGCGATGGCACATTCGAACATGCGTTTCGATGAGCAAAAGGTGGTCGATGTTGTTTTTGTTGTTGCTGTTGTTGTTGCTGATGCGGTAAAGAACATGTTGTACATACTGAAGATAAAGATGAAGATGATGTCGAAGGTGCTGGTGTGTGTGGTTTGGAGATATGAAAAGCACGTGTGGATCGAGAAGAAGCTGCCTTTTGCAATAAACGAGTCAACTCTGTCATATCAACAGCCGATGTATCGTCGTTGCAATGTACATGATGGGTGGTGGCATTGGTGGGGGTAACAACAGCAGGCGACAAACTAGGACTAGAAGGCACCGATCGCTCTGGTGTAACCAAGCCGTGATGAAGCAAAGCGTGCATGTAAGCTGGTAATGCGAGAGAGTGAGAGATGAGAGTGAAAAGAAGAGGTGTGTATTGGTGATTAGAAGCAACGATGAACAACAGGGGGAAATTTATGGGACGTGCCAATTTATATCAGTGTAAAGCTGAAACGTCAGTCATAAGACTGGGATCTCCCCCTCATGGCTTACACCCCCTTGCACCCCCCTAATCCCTTAACATGTTACCGGCACTCTGTCAATCCATTTCAGAAATAAAGCTGAAAACATAAACCATCCGTTTTTTCCGAGCACAAGGTATCATCTTGTGTTCCCTGTGTCACGGGGTCGTCCGAAAAGGCAATATTAAGCGGGTCTGTCAACGTTGAGACAAAGGATAAACAATCGTTTCATTTTAAGAAGCCCTTGTTCAGTCTCAGGCACAAACACGCCCTCATTATCCTTTAGTGCTCTGCACGTAGGCCAAGAAATGAATCAAGGAGGGCATTAGCAAGAATTAAGATTGGCTCTTTTTCATGTCTTGGCCTTGTGGTGCTGTAATTATCTACACACATCACTTAATTCGTAGCTCTGGCTTTTTCAGCCGCTATGCAACCTTGTTTTTGAGTTTACGTGTGCTGTCATCAGGCTTTTGTCCATATTAATTTGAAACAGAGGAGCTTGGGGGTACAATCTCAAGATGGATACCTAGGCTAAAAAGCATGACATCCGCCATTTAGGGTGATCGATAATCATGGGTCCTTTCCTGGCATCTTCGTAAACAGCTGCGGTTGCTATGCAACGCGTACATCAATGATGTATGTATGTGTGTGTGTGTGAATCAACAGAAATAGAAAACTCAAAAACAACGTTGTCCTTGCGTGTGTCTCTTTTTGCTACAAAAAACAGTAACACTTGGAGAAAACAAAACGCAATGTGTGTGTGTCGTACTTGGCAGTAATGAATTGTTGCTTTCTTTGTTTTTCTATTTGTGCATGCTCACTCGATGAGATTGGGTAGATTGCCTCTTTACTGTGCCTCGATCTCGTAGCCGTTTTTTCGACTTTGCAATATGCATACGCTGCGTGCACAATGACATCCTTCATAGTAAAAGGTGAATCAATGTACTGCGGCGTATGCTTTGCCATAAAAACATCCAAGCCCCATCTCCCTCTCTTACACAAAGCGGCCCGTTTCAAAAGGAGACAAAAGCTGCTACGGATCCCGAGCGAGGTGCGTGTTTGGAATAAGTATCATAGTATCTCTAATATGATGATGGCTCAAAGATGTAACAACAACATTGACGCAAGATGGTTAATGAGCATCCTATCCTTATGCACTTTCACCCCCTCCTTTGTCTCTTGTTGGTGGCGCGTTACTTGCATGAGGAGGATGTGTGTGTGTGAATTAGCGGAGAAAAAGAGAAAACAATCGAATGACGCTATGTATGTTCATATTGCTAGTGATGTTATGGATCATTCCTCTGTCATCGTCGTGTGATAAATCTGAACAAAGAAAAGAGGAAAACGTGTCTGTGTCGCTTTTATGACTCCATCGGATTTGCTTTGTATAGCAACTTGGCTTCTGAAACGCGCGCTCATTATTGTGGGATATGAATTTTGGGATTCTGACTCTTTTTTCTTAAAGCCGGCCATACATGCACATACATCGGCATCGGTTTGTTGATGTTCTTGAAAGGCAATATTTCAAAGCTATGCTTACAGCAATGATGGGATGGGCTCTCCTAAAGTGCATGCTGCGTTGTTGTTGTTTTTGTTGTTGTGGTGGCCCAAGTAGACCATCAAAAAGATTACCCTGTGCATAACGAGCCCCTTCCTTCTTCTCCTTGTGCACACACAATGACCACGAGATGAGCGATAAACTGAAAACCCATACCGCTACTACATCATGGCAACTCTGATACATGCATTAAATAGGCGCTATACCATCTCATGACGAGGCATATATTACAACCAAACCATTCAACTCAAAAGTTATTTACTGTTGATGGGTCGATGATACACAAAGGATTCGGGTCCATTGGATGGCGATATCCCGAGCCAGAAGGTGGATTACGTACATGATCAATAATAATAATAATAGCGATAGTGGCGCACTATACACATGTCAACGGATAAACGCGTGTGTGTGTGTGTGTGTAAATGAACCAATCTTGAGGCTCACTTTTGTGGTCTTTGAGGCTTGTCAGAGTGATCGGCATCGGGCCACTGTACGCTATAGCTTCACGTGAGAAAAAGAAAACTTGGATTGTTTAGATCTGATGAGTTGTTGTGCAGTGAGAAAGATAGAGCGGGGAAATGGCCACAATCAAGGTTAAAGTATAAATGACGAGCTTGGTAATATTAGACAGCACGTCTGTGTGATACAGCAGCTTGTGTAGCCCTGCAGGGAAAGGGTGTGATCTAATCGGTCTGGATTCCACGTCGAATCCATCGTTCGATCTAAATCATGTTGACACTTTCTCGATACTCGGGAATCCATCCTCTCTATCCACACGAATCCATCCACTCTGACGTTGTTAAAGAATGTAAAAGAACCTTTTAATGATGATATGTAGCTAACTTGTTGACTTAGAAAAACAAATACGTAAAGACAAATACGAGTGAAGCTATAGTCATCACCATTTGCGGTGGATATCCTTCCTCAACGCTCATGTTGTTACCAGCTGGCTTCTCCCATGCACCCGCAAGCTGTGGTTTTTCAGTAGGCTGCTGCTCCCCTTTCCTCTCAAGTTCCATATTTGCAATCTGACTCTTAAGGTGCTCCACCAGTTCTAGCGCTTGTCGCAGCTCTTGCTTTAATCGGGCTTTATCCTCATCCTCCATCGTGGTTGCCATGATACCCGTATCCATGGTTACTTCTTGTTCATCAGTAGTGACATCCGTTTGTTGTTGTTGTTGACCAATCTCCTCATTATCCTCCTCCACAGGTAGGTGTTGTTCGGTATCCTCGTTTGTAGGGGAAGAAAGCTCCTTTGTGGGGACATCTTCCTGCGACGATGTTTCTGATTTGGCTTGTTCTTCTTGATGTGAAGGCTTTTCTTCGACAGCTGGCTCTGGAGAAGGTGATGATGTTGTTGTTGCTTCTTCTACCGTTCCCGCTTGAGATTCCTCACGACTCATAACAGGATCTTGATTAGCTACTTCGCTTGGGATCTACATACATCACCCATGTCAAACAACAATAATAATATCATATGTCCTACTACTTGTACTTACGGGTGGCAATGCTTTTTGATCCACATGTTCTTGTGCTTGTTGTGGTGGTGTAATTGGTGTAGTGGTGGGTGGTCGAAAAGCACATCTTATCTTTTGTTGGAAGATGCTTTCCCTGTCCTCTGCTTCGGTGATAGCCCACTATGATGTTTATAATATGAATTACTACTATGTATACCTGCCTCCTTGTTTCCTAGATCCATACCATTTCCGTGAGAGGGAGTGCCTCATATACAGGCTTAATGATGGCTGTTTGAATCAAAAACTTGTCCTTGCATTTGTGGTCAACAGGCGGTTCTTGACTAAAAGGCTGCAGAATCACTAGAGTAGGTTGAAGATAACAGCAAGCTATCAGCATTGGCATTCATGCAAGTATGCTGTTTATGTGTTACCTTGTACTTCGATCTGAGAGTGAGGCTCAATACGTCCTGCATTAGGTCGTACACAGTATTGCTTGGGTGCCGTGGTCTTGATCTTGAACATGACGGGTCCATTGTTGGGATTGCCAACCAAAAGAACCTCAGTTGACAATCGCGTGAGAGGTCCTGGTAGAAGAACGCGAAATGAGCATCGCCCCACAGGTGCCATTGACCAATGACTTACGTTCAAACGACAGCTGCGATGCGGGATCTAGTTGAACAGCCATAGTATAGAGTAGAGAAGAAATGAAGAATAAAGAGAAGGATGGTGAATCGAGATGATGGAAGTAAAAAGGAGAGCATCCATATGTGAAGTAGGAGAGACCAAGTCGCGAAAAGGAAAACGAGGGGTGATGCATAAACCATGCACGCTAATGGGGAGAAACCACCATGAATACTTTGTGACTATAATGTTCACGACAACGAATGCTGATGGTGTGCATAAAGGATCCATTGGGATACATAGCTATAATAGCCGAGATAGTAGTAATAGTAAATGGCATTATCAATTATGATTGTATCATTACAATGACAATAGCGCGACATCAATATCCAAAACCGTCTAGCAACATCCCTTCTTCTTTCTCGCACCGACCAGCCCTTGAACGCTCCTCATTGAACGCCACAGAGGAAGGAGATCGTAAAACGCGATCATTCGTTAGCTTGGTGATGCCATGTTGTAATTTCGGATGGGAAATGTCACGGGTTGCACTGATATAGCTGGCTTGTCGGAAGCAAGACGCATTTTTGATAGGAGCTGCACCACCCCAAGTACATCTTTCCCATCTCTTTGGATCATATTTGTTCCCACCATCCATGTCATTACTATAGTACTTCAACCAGATCCCAGTGATTGAGCAGCAATGCGTATGCTATTGATGAAGAAAAAGAACAAGTCATTGATGATGATGATGCCTCCGTGTGATCGACAAATGTACTTTTCATCCCCTAGAATGACCGAAAACGCTCATGTGATGTCTAATTTGATCCTGTACGAGTGTAGGATATGCTGAGAACGAAGAGCATGAGCACATGAGTAGATGCTATGGCTAAAACAGCTCCACTGGTGAAGATAAGCGTAACCCAAAGAATGGTCGCCAATGACAACGTTGTTGTAGCAACACGTGTTGATCCAAGAAGTATCCCTTTAATGATTCTTTTTCTCGGTGTAAATGATCATTTCGATTGAAACAAAAGAACTTTATAGTAGCCATTAGGCGTCACTCATGACTAGATTCGAATTTATTTGAAATGTCACGTCATTGATCTGTGATCCAGTCTGTGTGCCATGGTCTGGGGTTTTTTTCTCCCCATCCAGCGTGATTTGTAGCTCCGTAAACTTTGTTTGTCCTCACGAGTGGCATCAGCATCAAACCCCCACCTTTGTTTTCCACTCTTTAAACAAAAAGGTAAACTCAACTTTTAACGCTTTACTTGATTGCCCTGGCCGTACTCATTCATCACCTTTTATAGCCCCATAGTCATGTCTGTCCCTGGTATGATGACTCCTCATCTTGAACATGGAACGCGTTTACCCTTTCTTCCTTCATTGCACCGTGCTCTTGTCTCACTCAGCAGTGTTTATGTTTAGTTGCCTTCAACGATATCGGTAAGCCCGCCAAGGACCTCCTCTCCAAGGATTATCCCGTTGGTGGTGTTAAGCTCGAAGTCAAGACCACTGCTCCTAACGGCGTCGTAAGTAGGATGGGGGAGTGGCGTTATTGTGTATGTTTTTTTCGGTGAATAACCCCTGTCTTATCACACATTATAGACCTTCAAGGTGAACGGTCAACGTGACAACAAGACCGGCATCATCGTTGGTGACCTCGAGACCAAGTATGCTGATAAGGCCAAGGGTGTCACTTTCACCGAAGCATGGACCACCTCCAACCACCTTAACGGCAAGATCGAACTTGAGAACAACTTGGCCAGTATGTATTTTATGATAATGGCGTCTTTGATGGGATGATGGTCTTTTAACATGTATGGCTTTGTATAGAGGGTCTTAAGCTCGAGTTGGTCACTTCCCTTCTTCCCTCCGTCAACGAGAAGGGTGCCAAGATCAATGCCACCTACAAGCAACCCAACATCCACACCGTTGCTACCCTTGATGTCTTGAAGACCCACTTCACCGTCAACTCGGTCGCTGGTCGTCAAGGTTTCCTTGCTGGTGGTGAGGTTTCTTACAACGTTCTTGATGGCAAGGTAAAGAAAAAATGGGATACTATCAGGGAAAGAGAGAAAAAAGGAAGGTTTCTGATATTTTCCATGACAACAGATCAGCCGCTACAACGCTGCTCTTGGTTACTCTGCTGGTGAATATGCCGTCGCTGTTCACGCTCTTAACAACTTGAACAACTATGCCGTCTCCTACTACCACAAGGTCAACCCCGATCTTGAAGCTTCCGTAAGTTCAAATATCCCCATATCATTGATTCATATATATATTGACAACGTTTGTATCATAGGGCAAGGCCTCTTGTGATGCTTCTGGCAGCAATGCTGTTGCTCTTGAAGTTGGTGCTAAGCTCAAGCTCGATAGCTCCGCTTTCGTCAAGGGTAAGATCTCCAACTCTGGTGTCCTCGGTGTTGCCTACACCCAACTTCTTCGTCCTGGTGTCAAGGTCAACCTTGGTGCCTCCATTGACACCTCCCGCCTCAACGAGAACGCCCACAAGCTCGGTCTCTCCCTCACCCTCGAAAACTAGATTGTATCATACAACATTACTGAAAGAGGTCTTAAGGGCTTTTTGTTGCAACGTAGATAAAACAATAATGCTATACTAGTATCATTTAGATGGGATGATGGAGATGTAATAGCTTGGGATATGGAATGCTATCGACTCATGTAGAATGCTTCAAAAAGATATGTATACGCACATGTTACATAGCTTGTTATCAACCCTGGCAAGAGCATGCATCAATGAGCACTATCAATGGTGGCGATCGTTGTGCCATGGCAACGGCTTAGGAACAATGAATCTGTTACTGACGTAGGTTCTGTTATTAGAACAACTTCACTAGCATATCCAAGAGCATGTTGTGTGAAAGTTTCAGGTTCGAGAGAGGCAATCACAACATCAAGATTTGGATGTACAGTGTTCATGCATTTATACAAGAGGTGTCCGACCTATTTAATTTCCACTTCTTCCACTCCCACAACTTCTTGTCTCTTCCCCCCATTCTCAACTGTTGGTGCATTCAAGTATACAACTACCGCCTGCGAACGATTGTCCTGCTTCAACCCATAATGTCAATCCTCCAACTTCCTTGATCCGATTGCCTCTGACTGAATGGCAAGTTCATGGAGTGTACACAACCTCCTTGTCACTCTTCTACAACACACGAGTCTCTTAACACAACACACGCCCTTGCACACTTCTTGCCACAACCAACGTAAGAGCGTTCATTGCAGCAGTTGCTATTTACTCCATTGTATCAAAAGGCATTCACAACCTTGTCACTCTACTACAGCACACGCTCTCTTACGCACTCCTTTGCCACGACCAAAGTTGACAGTATTCACCATTAGGAAAGTCTTCACTCCCTTCTCTAAAGTTACTTGCAGCAGCCTGCCTTGTGGCCTTCATCACGTGAACAGCAGATAGCCATGGTATAGAAGCGGCTTTATTCACGCGTAGCAACTTGATTTGGTACATGTGAATTCCAATGGATGATGCCATATCAGATATCAAGTACGCCGCAACACTTGGTCGAGTTACGATGGAAATGACTAAGGAAATGGTAGATCAACAGCAGGATGGAAAAGGAAAGCACATCAACAGCAGCTCTTTCAACCAACGTATTGGATTTGCAATGGTTATGGATGGGTGGATGCAATCATGAGCAATGATGAAAAAGGGACCCACGAATGTTGCTTTGGTTACTTTTCGCGTCGTCAGCAGGAACGATGGATCATGACACGTGGTTACGGCTGAGGATGATGATGGCTTGGATGGGATCAGCGAAAAGGCTTGTATCTTTGACGAAAGAAGGTGCTTTACAGCGATGGATGGCATTGGAGTACTCAAGAAGACAAATCATGCAACAACTATTCTCCAGCAACCAAGAATGCAATGACACAACTATCCCTATTGCCTCGATGTGATTCATCCGTGTCTTATCAATTTGCAATGCTTTCCCTTTATCATGGCAGTAGTTTATAGACATCCACACTACCCTTCTACTTTTTCATTGAATGAAGATTGGAATCAACGTAATACTTGGGAAGATGTGAATCACTTGGTTGGTTTCTGGTTTCTGGGTTGAAAGGAGAAGGACAAATGTGAAGGTCGGAAAGCGAGGTTGGATCATTTAAGTTATCGTATCAAGGCGTTGTTGTCCTTTTTGACAAAGCTTCCTATGTAACTCGCATACAGGTATATGATAGGCAGTGGCAATTCTCAAACGCTTGATTTACGAGGATAATCAAATAAGGGTGATGATGCCCAACATAGTGCTTGTAACCTACGCTTGGTTCATTGTAAGCTTAATGCATTATGTTCGAGATAGAGCGAGCTTTGATACAATGTGACACAAGTTCAAGCATACACCATGCTTCCCGATGTTGATTTTAGCTAACGCTACGTATTGTATGTAACCTTATATAAGAACGAAGCATGTTCTATACTGAAGCATAGGCAGGCAGGAGCAGATCAATCATGCACTCTCCGCCAATAGGATTGGCCCTTCAAGTCCGCTCCACTGTACAAGCAAGTCGTCACACCATCTTTACTCTATTATAGTCATACGCGACGCTTGTCAGTAAAACCACCTTCCTATAGCATCACGCTACAGTATATAAAAAAACATATAGACGCCCGTATCTCAACACTTTACAATCAACCGTGGGGTCTTTAATAGAACAATCTTGCTCGGCGGGGTGAAAGCGATCTTGTGGCAAACTATAAGTCCATCGTGGCAAAATTCCCAGATTTCGCAGAAAATATTAGCCACCAGCCAAACTGGACCTGAAGTTAGACCTCTTCATTGACGACGACCAAAAAAAATATTTTTGGGGGTAGTTGCGACATTGAACGTGAAACTTTCACACAAGGTGCTGTTGGCCAAGCCGAGCACATTGCTCTAATAAAAACCCTGTGTTTCATTGTAAAGTTTGGAGATACAGGCACCTTTATGTTTGTAAGCGTGATGCTATATGAGAAGTGGTCTTCGTTCAATGTCAAGTCGCTGGACCCTGGCAGAGCAAAAGATGCAGAGGGACCCTCTTTGTGTAACTCAGCTACTTTGCATGACTGGAAGGATGGAAGGATGATACTGTATACTGTTGACAAAAGCCCGTTCATTGCGAGCTTAACAGCCATTTCTTCACAATAGCCACTGTTGTCCACTCTATGACATGTGAGCGATTCTCCTGCTTCAGACATTCATTTCCATGATTGGATTATGTTGATCCGAGTTGATTTGACCGAGATACAGCAAAAGAGGGATTACATCAATCCACACATCTAACCATGCTCTATGTTGCTCAACTGAAGTAACCTTGGCATGAGCGTAGCTCAGCCAAACCAACTCGGATCAACATAATCCAATCATGAAATGAATGTCTGAATCAAAGCATCCCGTTCCTGTCATAGTATGGGCAACATTGCCGATTGTGAGGAAGTAACGTGCTCGTTTTATCAACAGTATACAATATCATCCTTCCAGTCATGCAAAAATAACGAGAACAAAGAGATTCCCTCTACCTTTGCTCTGCCGAAATCAACGGCGTTGGTTTAAGATTACTTCACATATAGCATCACGCTTACAAACTATAAAAGGTCCTGCATCTCAGGCTTTACAATGAAACGTGGGGTTTTATTAGAGCAATATTAGCTCGGCTGGTCAACGCTTTGCTTGTGAGTTTCACGATCAAGCTGCCTATCCCAGATTTCGCAATGTCGCCACCAGCCAAACTGGATCTGGGGGTCGACCTCTTCGACGACGACGACCAAAAAAATATTTTTCAGGCCGGAT